GACCGCAAGGATGGCACCAACCCGGCCGTGCGGGTCGACGATTGCTAAAGGCAACTGGGGGACGAAAAAGCCCATGTATTGCATGGGAACTGCAACACCATGGAGCGCCCCATCTCTCCAGAGTATCAAGCTCTTTACCGTGGGTCTTGATCCCACACGAATTCGGAGACATTGCTTAGGACTCGTTTCCTCATGGCGACACATTCGTCACGCATATGTATGCTCTCTGGAGTCCGGACAAGGGGCGGACGTTATCTAACGATCCCAACCACAGTGTCATGTTGTGTGGTACTTGCAGCCACTATGGGATGGGCACTTTCGTGGTCTTTACTCATAGGGGCACTCCAACTGTTACGCACCAGACGACCGATTAAGGGGGTCAGACAGGAATCGAGCAAGGACCAGTGACCTGCCTGCCCGCATAACCACTGCATGGGAGTCCGTTCCAGGGATCATTCAAAGGAGATAACAGTTTCGTCTACCGGTTCACCGAGGGCTTCAACTACCTCAACCAAGCGCAGTACATGGACCGCTTGCTCGAGCACGTCACCCGCGCCACCAGACAGACCACGCCGCCGCACTACGACCACCCGGGCGATCGCCCCTGGAACGAAGCCCCGCCGCCGCCGTCGGCCGAGGCCGACGACGCGGAGTGCCCGGCAACGTCCAAGCCGCTGCTCCGAGCGATCGTCCTGGACTGCTCCGCCGTCAACACGATGGACTCGGGCGCCGTCGAGGGCCTCGTCGACCTCCGCACCCAGCTCGACCGATGGGCGGCGCCTGAGCCCGTCGAGTGGCACTTCGCGGGCCTGCACAGCCGCTGGGACCGCCGCGCTCTCGCGGTCTCCGGGTTCGGATGCCCGACGGCGGGCCGCTTGGGCGGGTTCCAGCCGGTGTTCAGCCTGGCGGACTTGGAGGGCCGGCCGGCCGCGCTCTGTAAAGGACGGGCTGGGGCAATAACAGCATGCGGCGCCAGAGACTCTGAGGAACTTTCATGTTCCTCGCTGGAGGAAGGCGGCTTTGGTCCCGAAGAGAGCGCGGGCACATACCTCGGTGCAGTGAGCGGGATCAACAGGCCGTTTTTCCACCTCGACCTCCCCTCCGCTGTCGAGAACGCAGTGAAGAGTGCCATAAGGAAGGGTCGTTATCTACCGGCGTGAAGCCTCGAATCGGTCTGGGAAAAGACCTCGGAAGCGATTTGTATCTGTTTAATGCAATGCGAAGCGTGAATGTCCTTGATGGATTTTATTTAAATGCAGATACTCCACCCTCAGTTTATAACACAAGGTTTTCTTGGTTTTGGAAAGCCATTAGATACACTTGAGGCTCATTCGAATTGTCAATTTCATGTTTGTGTCTAGTTGTCATACAAAGCGGACATAGTGCTTATAAGTATAGTTATTTGAAGGGAAATATGCTATTATCATTGAAATGTCGGGCTATCGAGTTGAGGCTTCATCACATTTTCAGTTCATGATATAGCCTATAATAATATCAGAACCACATAGTTTGTGTTGTGTAACGCCGGGTTTTCATCCTGCTGTACTCGGATATCAGACTCCCAAGCGGCTTATAGCTAATATGAGAAAGACGTCATGCGCGGCTCTCAAATACAGCCGGCACACCGGTAACTGTCAGTATGGCCCTACTTCTCCGGACCGGGAGCGACACGAGACACAATCTCATCACTGTTTCCGCGCGTAACGCCGGAGACACCGGGCGTCTCAGCGCAGCCCAGACGCACTGAGTACTTGGCATCCAGAGATGCGAGTATCACAAAAGACCGAGACATGCATCGGTTGCCTTCCGAGTCTTCGCCCATGCTGCGCGTGTGGTACGACTTTTTTGACGTGCAGCTTCAGCAGGTGACGCCGGACAAAAGGGAAAAAAATGGTAAAGACGCAAGGCCGCCGAGGCCGTTTATCTCGTAGAAATTCGTCATTTCATCTGATGACAGAAAAGGCAGTATTGTCATTATCCTTTCGGGGCCTCGATGTCCAAGTGCAGAAACAGGGTTGTCGCTGTGCAGGTTCGCCGGCTATTTGCATTTGCCTGTGTTTCTGAACCGCCCAAACGAATGCCATGCAGCTGAAAAGAGATGGGTGGTTTTACCATCTCTTGAGTCGTCGCGGCAGGGGGGCTATGAAGATGAGGCTCTCTCTCTCTCTCTCTCTCTCTCGTGTCTCAGCGCAAGACGAAAAAAGGCCGCATCAAGTTGCATCAAAGGAGACGACGCTTCGGCGAGTCCACCTGCGTTGCCTTTGACTTTTATATCTCGGCCAAGTATAACACGTCAAGGGACCCCAAAGAGATTTGCCGACGTTGCATTTCTGGCGGCCAGGACTGTCGGGAATCTCGGGAGTCTCGGGAGATTGCCCGTTGCGATCGACACTTCTTCCCCGCTGCTCGACGTGACGATGCCGAGATTATCTTCTGCTTGGAACCTCGGTCCCACTCTTGATAGATGCCCTGCGAGAATTCAGGTAAAAGGTTGAAACTTGGTGGGGTTTCCCAATGCAAAAAAGAGCAGACCCGCCGAACAACGGCAAGGTTTTCGGATTCGTGTGACGAAGCAGTATTTCCGGGATGTGCCTATTCTCTCAAAGAGCCTCCCGCTCGTCACGCAGGGGAAGACGCGAGGTCCGTCTGCAAGGCAGCTCCTCTTAACATACACGTTGAGATTCTGACACGGCCGAATCCGCTTGCGACGGCGGTGGAGCGGCATGTTTGGGAGATTCTCTTGGCGGTATGGGTTCCAACTTCGGCGAGGATTAGGCGTCATGGCAGAGAGTTGATCAGGTTTGCAGGGTCCGGGCGCTTGTTTCCGGAAGCGTTGTCGATGATGATTCGCTTCGTTGCGACCATCATCCATGAAAGGACGAGCAAGAGACCGGAGAAGGACGGTTGAGATCTGCAGGGGAGTTTGCCCGTTGAACTCCACCAGCACGAAGATGATTCTCACCTTGAGCCTGGTTGACTGGCACGGCTTGATTGATGGGTTGGGGGGATCTCAGAGCTGAGTGCTATTAGCGCAATGCGAGGCGGCTATATCTGCACGGTGATGCACGGAACCACGGGTCCCCGACATTGAGGAACCCAGGGGAGTTGCCGCAGGTTAAGGAAACAAACTGTTAATGGGCCACGAGCTCGAGCCGTCTTACAGCGGTTGAAAGAGTCGATGTTACGGGAGAATGCTCCCCGTCGACGACGAAGCTGGTCGTTTTATGACGACGACGACGACGACGACGACGACTACTACTACTACTACTACCACTAATCGTAGAGTCCCAGATTGATGAATAACCAAGACCGGGCATAAGAGCCCCAACATCGATATCGCTCTCTGTCCCCCCCCCAACCCCCCCCCTGTGAACCGCCAATTAAGCTGCGGCCACTAATGTCGCCTCCCGGTCGCACGCTGAAAGATGTGACAAGGGGGGCCAGATAGGTGTGCAGGCGAATTAAAATAAACGCCATCGGGAAGCGCAAGGCTCTGCAGTTCTATGTAGGTGGTTAGGGGAGCGACCGGTGACTGGGCAACTGGAGCACCATGTACGGATACTCCGTATGCGCCGACGCAATCACGTTGGCAAGCCGCTCAATCGATTCAAGGCCATGTCGATACAGTCGATAGGGAGCATCGCCAGACAGCACGGAGACATGAACAGAAACAGAAGGACAGAGAGCGAACAAGAGGCTGACGGGGGTGACCGGGATATGAAACCAAGTGACGATCTGGCAGGGACCTTATTGGTGAGATGCTACGGATACACACCAGACCTGGGGTCTCTCTCTCTCTCTCTCTCTCTCTCTCTCTCTCTCTCTCTCTCTCTCCACCTGTTTGACGTGAATTAAGGAGTAACGGTAGACGCTGCGTTTTCACCACAAGCCCCGAGCTCTCAACCCAAGGTTGCTGTGCTGCTAGCAAAGCCTATCCATCCTCCCCTCAGGCGTCTCTTCCCCTCATCACCGCTACCGCTGCAGTCCTTCCTTGGGGAGGGCGCGTCTATCGCAATCACCCGAGAGAGCCCAGCGACGGTGCCGGGGACGGTTGGCGGCGAAGACGCACTCTCACCACTGGGGTCCGGTCTGATTGGAAATTGCTGTCGTTCAATAACGAGTTATCCGTAGTGCTCGGTAAGCAGTGAAATCAGCATCGTTGTCATCATCATCCCGTGGCCAAACAGACAAGAACAGTCGCTTCTGCATCGCCCAGACGAACAACCCCTTCTTGGATGCCAAGACGAGCCCAACTCTTGAAAGACTACGTAGTATAGGTCCATAGCTGTGACCCCGGGCCCATAGGGTGGAGAAGCATCGAAATTGCGTCCCTCCTCAACCGTGTTTGCGGTGATGAAACTGTCAGATCAGGGGAGATTGGACCAGTCTGGGACCGTTTGTGCGGTCGACTTACACGCTCACACACACACACACACACACACACACACACACACAGCGCATGCATACTTTTGCTGGCCGCACAGCTGAGGCGATGAAAAGGACGACGAGGCCCCCCTTCCCCCTCTTACGGGTCCTTTCTTGCGGGTCAATTTGGGCATCTCGTCAAACCGTCTCCGTTCGCGCCAATACCTTTTCTTATATGTGACCAACAACCACCACGCCCTCTCCCTCCTGGCCCTCGATGAGACCTCTTCTTCTTCTTCTTCTTCTCCCTCTCCTCCTTTGACCAAGGGATTGTTGACCATCTCCTTGATCCTACCGACACTCGTTTTGTTTGTGTGATTGTATGTGTGCGTGTGCGCCGTTCGTTCGTTTATCCATTCATTCATTCATTGATTCATTGATTCATTGATTCATTCATTCATTCGAGGCTCTGCGCCCTTTCCAAAAAATCCCCCGAACGAACCCCGTCTTTGCACGACCAGCTCTCACCAAATCCGAATCGATACTTGGATTCTTCACCGAGGACTTTGAAAGTCCCCACGCCGTTTTACGCCAATTCATCGCTTAGGGGGGCGAAACGATCCATCGGACCCGGAATGCGTCTCATTTCCGCTCTGGCCTTCGCGGCCGCGGCCGTCGCCCAGATGATTCCGAGCTCCCTCGAGATGAGCGTCGACTCCGATGCCGTTGATGCGCTTGCCGGCCCTGTCTTTGCGGCTGACGAGGCACCCTCTCCCATATACGAGACCATCTCCGGTACACCCTACACGCCCACCGGCTTCGTTCCCGCCTCTCCCACTGAGCCCGCCGCGTCTGGCCCCGTCGAGGCTCCCGCGACGGCCATCTCCGCGTCCGTGTCGGTCCCCGCCGGCGCTCCTTTGCCCATCTTCGAGACTTTATCCCGGGACCCCGTCGCCTCCTCGGCCGCCCCCTCCGCCACCCTTCCCGTCGAGTCTCTGGCGCCTTCGGCGCCTCCCAGCAGCAGCACACCTGTATCGGCTCCCGCCGGTGGCGGCGCCGTCGACCCTACCTTTGCGCCTGGCGAGACCCCCTCTCCCATATTCGTGACTCTCTCCGGTGCCGGCTACACGCCTACCGGCGGCGTCCCGGCTGTTTCTTCCGCGATCCCCACCGAACCCGCCCAGAAGATCCCCGCGAGCTCCGGCCCCGCAACCGTGCCAGCTCCCTCCGGCGCTCCCTCGCCCATCTTCGAGACTCTGCCCCAAGGCCCCGTCGCCTCCTCAACTGGCGCTCCCGCCTCGGAACCCGCGCCCACCGCTCCCGCAGATTCTGCCCCTACGTCCGTGTCGGCCCCCGCCGGCGCCCCCACCCCTATCTATGAGACCTTGTCCGAGGGCCCCGTTCGCTCCTCGGCCTCCCGCTCCGCCGGCGTGCCCGTCGAGTCTTTGGCGCCTTCCGGCAGCGCCCCCCTCTCGGCTCCCGCCGGTGCTCCCACGCCCATATTCTCGACCCTGCCCCAGGGCGCCGAGCTCGGCAGCGCGCCCAGCCCTACCAAGTGCCCCTTCTTCAGCGGCCAGGTGTGCGTCACAAAAACGGCCACCGAGACCGTCTACGTCACAGTAGAGGTGTGATTATGGGCAAGGAAGAACACCTCACGTTGTAAGAGCATATTTCCAAGTACGCGCGAAGAGAAAAGAGACGATAGAATAGAGTAATGCGCAAGCCCTTCGATCATGAGGGGCGCCGGGGAGGGAGTCGGCCCGAAACGAGAGAAAGGGGGAGACAGAGACAGAGAGAGACAGAGACACAGAGACAGAGAGAGTGTGACAAAAAAGAGTTTTCATGTACATAGTATGCACGATTCTGTACACAACATACATAGCCGGCCCGCATCTCGTGTTCCCCATGCGTGTCCGCTCTGACAAAGGGGGCTCGAGAGCAAGTCAACGGCCAGAGCCTATTTTCAAGCATCCGAGGCCGGCCTGGACCGGGCGCGAAGTTCATGATCGGTTCACTCCGACATCCGGCACAGGGAAAGAGTCTATTGTTTCTTGGCCCCAGTCCGATACACGACATAGGAAGAGCCCACTATTCCTTGGCTTTATTCTGCGGGTCGTTTCTGAAGGGAGCCCCCCGGCCCGGGACAGGCACATGACATACCACTGCAGGACCGTATTGATCCTGATGCGACCTGATACGCCCGGTTCGAGAGGCGGAAATAGTAAATTATCCTGCACATACAGAGTACGGAGTATGGGTAATACAAACAAGGCGGTCCCTTGTCAGGTCACACAGGTGCTCAGCTGCCGCACGTGTGCTTTTCGGCCGAGTATAGGGTGGCATGGACATGGAACATGAGTCGTGACGGGAGGAAATGAGGAAAAAGGGCCGGTCCCGGAACGAGCCAATAGACCTCCAACAGCAACCCGGGGTTTATCCTTTGCCCTAGGCATGTCGAGCTGGTGAACCAATCGGCCGGGGAGCACGCGTCCTGGCCAGCAAGGTGGCCGGCCTTATGATCCGCATAAGGAACCGCTGCCAGGTGCTGATATTTGACCAATACCAATACGCCACCAATGGTAGGCCTGGATCTCGTCTTCATGAGTGTTATGGCCCCCCCCCTCTCACTGGAAATAAGAGGCGGCCTAAACACCTTGATGGGACAGGCTGACGGAGCACATGCTTTTCCGAGCCATGTATCTGGAGCCCCCCACGCAGGGCATCTGCTCGTCTTCAGGGGTATCGCCTGTATGACAATTAGGTGAGTCGATAACGGGATGCCATTGGGGGACCGAGGCCTCCTGAAAGGAGCTGTGCTGACGCGGACAACCAATCATTGTGTCCGATGTGGACGTTGTCGTCTTTATTGGGCCTTTATTGTTTACTCCGAGGCCCAGGGATACACCCGTCGAGTTGGATAGATAGGATCGATAGGAGGCCGTCTGGCATGGTCACGACATCACTGAGACGGGCGAGTGGATCCGACCTCACATGAACTCGACCGCTTTGGGAACGATCCCGACAGGCTTTAACTCTGTCTACTCCGCCGTATCTGATCTGGCATTGACGGCCGCCCATTGCCCCCATCACCAACTGCCTTTCCTCCACCTCGACAACAAGACTCATCCTGTATGCCGGAGGTTTTGTCCACGAGACCACGCGGCGGTCGAAAGCAACTCTCGCTAGGATCCATCACCTGCGAGACGACGCCGACAGAGTGAGCACCAGTCCCACGCGGGATACCGAGTACGGATATCTGACAAGGAAAACCCCCTCTGTCCCCTGCGCACGTCATGATAACCTGGTAGAGATGGATAGTAGAGTTACAGCGGGTCGACTTTATACTCCATTATCACCAATTCGGCCAGTTGCCGTTGCTCTCACCTGACCATCCCCTGCCGGGTATAACAAATACGCAAAGGCACATACATGGTCCCGTTGGCCCTCGCTGGCCGGAATACGGATAGGCATCGAGCTATCTCCTGCCGCGTTTGACTACCCTCCCATGCTCCTCGGCATCTGGCCGTTGGCCCTTGTTGGCCCGAATAGGCATCGAGCTATCTCCTGTCACGTTTGACCACCCATGCTCACCTCGGCATCTGGCCGTTGGAAGGGATGTGGTTCGTAAGGAACATGCTCGATTCCCGTTACCGGCAACTACGCAACCGTGCCGTCCATCCAATCTCGTTCATGTGCTGGCTCGGCTACCAGATGGTTGGACGACACTAAGATGACGGCGGACCGGGGTGGAGGGCGAAGATGGCGCGAGGGGGTGAGCCATGGATGGAAGGAATCGTTGGTCTTGTTCACCTTATAAGGTCTCGTGGCCGCCTCATCATCTCGAGTCTCTTGGAGTTTAGTCTGCAGCACCAGCTCGTCGGCCATCTCGCGCTCTCCCAAGTCCTTCCTTTGAACCACACAAGCCAGCGGGATTGCTGAGCGTCCTCTCATTTTACATTAACCCCCTTCACTCTCTCAATCACCTCCTCCCACACTCATAATGGTTCGCTCAACCCTGGCTGGCCGCCTCCTGGCCTGCCTCCTCCTCGCGACTGGCGCCGCTGCGCACGCCGACGGATGCGGCTGTGCAGCGGACGGCGTCAAGCGCGTCACCTACATCATCGTCGAGATGCCCGACCAGCCTGAACTTGCGGCGGCAGATGTCGTTGCCTCGACGCTGACCACGCTGTCGACTATCACGCCCACGCCCACGCCCACGCCTCAGATCGCCCACGCCATCGAGGACATCCCGGCCTACGTGCCCGTCGTGGCCCAGCCCGAGCAGCTGCGCCCGGCCGTCAACACGACGCACACGTTCGGCCCCACGACAGGGCCCAACATCGACACCAAGGACCCCGTCAACATCGTGCCGGCCACCAACGTGTCGCTCTCCTACGCGGGGGCGGGCGAGTCGGCCGACCAGGACGGCTCCATCGACATGTCGCTCGCCTTCAAGAACCCGGCCGTGGTTCTCGAGCACGTCGACGCCGTCAAGGCGGTCGTCTGCGGCGACGACGAGCTGACCGTGGCCTTCTCCGACGCCGACGCCTTCCACGAGGCCGTCCAGGGATGGACGGCCTCGGCGGACGAGGGCGGCTTCATCCTCATCACCAACCACCTGGGCAACTGCGACGCCGAGTTCGAGCGCGGCTTCTTCATGGCCACCGGCCTGACCGCCGACGAGGACGACCTGACCGTCACCGTCGCCGCCTCCAAGGAGGAGCTCGCCAACATTGCCGGCTCCTGCGAGATGGCCTTCACGTCGCTGCCCGCCGCCACGCTCGCGAGGCGTCTGACGCTCGACCCCAGCTACTCGCTCTCCTTCGCCCAGGGCCTCGCCAACAACACGGTCCTCTTCAGCGACGGCCAGTACGTCAACATCACCGCCGACGAGGCCTGGTTCAGCTCCAACATCACCTTCTCCGGATACCTCAAGTACAACTTCTGGGGCTTCAAGGTCGAGGCCCTCTACTTCGACCTCGACGCCACCTTTGACTCGGCCGTCGGCGTCTCGGTCGACGTCCTCGCCGCCTACAGCCACTCGCTCAAGTACGCTCCGGACGCCTTGTCCTACTCTCTCGTCACCGTCCCCGGCGTCGTCGAGCTCGGCCCTGGCGTCGCCTTCGCCGTAGGCCTCGACCTTAACGTCTCCGCCGCCGTGGGCGTCACCGCCGGCCTCAGCGTCGGCCTGCCCGCCGGCAAGGTGCACCTCGACCTCCTCGACTTCGGCAAGTCGTCGGCCACCGGCTGGGACCCCGTGTACAGCAGCCACGCCAACATCACCGAGTCGGCCGACGTGCACGTCAACACCACTGCCGACGTCACCGTCCGTCTGGCCATCGACCTCCTGGGCGGCCTGGTGGACCTCAGCGCCGGCATCACGGCCACCCCGGGCTTCGACAACACCTTCAAGCTGCGCGGCGACCAGAAGCTCGGCCTGGCCGGCAACTTCACCAGCCCGCCGACCGAGGCGGTCGCCGACGTGCCCAAGGACGGGCTCGTCTGCGCCGAGAAGAACGGCGTCGAGTTCGCCACCGACTTCACCTTCAACCTCACCGGCTTCGCCACCAAGTACTGGAGCGGCGAGCTGTACAGCGTCCGCGTCCCGCTCTGGGACGTGTGCTACAGCTTCTGAGCTGTTGCGGCATCCCCCACCGGGCCGGGACAAACCCCGTTGGCACAACGATGACGACTCTGCTTTTTCCTTTCTCGCCCTGTATTTCATATATTGGACCGTCTCATAGCCACAATGGCCAAGATACCCACGCGCCTCTGCGCGCTGTCAGCTTGTACTTATATTGCGCCGTATGCCAGCCACAATGGAGAAAATACCTATTTACCTCATCGCCTCTTCCCATCTGACGCTGTTCGAGCAAGTTTGTTGCCGTCGGTGAACATGTGTGTGTGTGTGTGAGTGTGTGTGAGTGAGTGAGTGAGTGTGTGAGTGTGTGTGTGTGAGTGAGTGAGTGAGTGAGCGAGTGAGTGAGCGAGTGTGCTCATGTTCCGCATTGCAGTTCCCATCAAGGCTTGGAACCCGTAACTGTAACCGCGTGATGGGCCCTCTACGACGATCCGACCAGGATATGCCGCGCCGAGACGTCGGCGCCTTGATTCCGCAGACGATCGCGGGTCCAGAACCCCACAACTCGGACATCGGATGTCTAGTTTCTAAGTATAGCCGTATGCATCGAAGGCACCCGGTAGCAGCGTCCGAAAGAGGCAGGGCTCGACCTTTGTCTGCCGCTTGGGAGACCGAGACCGGAAGGGTGATATGCCTGCAGCCAGGCTCCCGAGACACCACAATCTCTCTTGTGAGTGACCCTTCTCTCTGCCGATCGACAGGAACCTCAAACCCCCGCAGCCCACCCCGGAGGACCAGTGTCGTAGCATGTCGTCCGGCGCGCATTCAAGCTTATACCGATTAGCCGTCGCTGGTGCTCATTTTGTTTTGGCGAATTCGGATTGCCCCGTGCCCGTGCCCGTGCCCGTGCCCGTACCCGACTCAACAGTCGGCCAGTCCCGGGAGCGAGTTCCGGACGGTACGTCAACGTTGGTTATTGCTCTTTTGGGATATCGGCACTTTCGATCCGTGCAAGGAGCGCGATGTTCTCCCTCCCTCTCCTTTCCTCTCCTTTCCTCTCCCCGGCCGCTGTTGGCCGAGAGAATCCCGACGAAATGCGCCAGCCAAGACCCCGTTTCCCGGGGACGGGTTGCGACAATCGGGCCCCTGAGACTGATGCGACCCCGCGAAACTTTTGTGGAGGGCAGTCGACGTTTTGGATGGCCGCTCCGCCGGTGTCGATCGCCAAACCTGGCTGTGATGGCTGTGGGAACCCTCTTGCGCGCCAAGGACCGCTCGCACACGTCAAGGCTTCGCCAACAAGGTTTCCGAGAGGGATTCCCCCAGAAAGCGCTTGGAAAGAACTGGGGACGAATGCCGATCTATGAGTCCGACGGTCTGGTACACTCGACGGCTAGAGAGGTCGCCGATGACTCCGGCCTCCACGACGGCTTGTTTCATGAGTTCTCTCGCCCGCCCGCCGCGGCTCGACAACGTCGTGACCATCGAATCAGGGCCATTCCACATGACTAGGATTTGGGCGCAGGAATACCCGGCGATGGCGCAAGTACGGGCATGATCGCACGGGTGCGAAAACGCGAGAACGAGCTGTGTGCTACACGGGGCCAGACCGGCGAGATGGGGTATATAAGTCGGGCATCTTGGTTGCTAGAGAAGGATTCTTAGTTCTTGCTCCTCACCCGCATCGTGCAGCATCGCATCCATCACCAAATACTTCCTCCCCCTTCTTCTACCTTGCTTCTTTCTACTCGAGCCAGTCTCGTTCCTCTAGCACAAACAACTACTCGGGCAGTAGTCAAGTCTTCTTTGCTTGTAATTTAAGAAAACCGCTTCTTTTCTAGAATACCCCTTGACCTTTTTTTATATATAACCCCCCCCCCCCCCCCCCACCTACCTCCATACAAGATGAAGTTCTCCACCGCAGCCATCGCCATCCTCGCCGGCGTCGTCGCCGCCGCGCCCGCCTCAGACGTCTCTCAGCGTCGGGCCAACGGGGACACCGAGGTCGCCCAGCAGCTGCAGTCCACCCTTGCCCGCAGCAATGCCAACGTGGCCAACGTGGCCGGGACCGGCGCGCAGGCCAGCACCAAGCGCAAGCGCGGCGGCCAGAAGGCTGCCGGCGGCGGTAACAACCAGAGTAATGCCGCCGACGAGGAGGAGGAGGATGCGGCCGGCAGCGGCAACAACGCCGATGATGCGGCTGCTGGTGCCGGTAACCAGAAGAACAATGCTGGCGGAGGCAACGCTGGTGACAATGCGGACGCCGCTGCTGGAGGTGGTAACGCCGACGATGCGGCCGCTGACTGCGGCAACGCTGCTGGTGAAGAGGACGCCGCTGCCGATGGTGCGGCCGCCGACGCTGGCAATCAGAAGAACGCCGGCAACCAGAAGAACAAGGCCGGCAACGGCAACGCGGCCGATGAGGAAGCCGCGGCGGAAGACGACGCCGCTGGCGGGGCCAACAACGCGACCGCCAACGCCGGAGCCGATGCGGACGCGGGCGCGGGCGCCGGAGGGGCCGCCAAGAAGGATTCCAACAGGCGCAACGGCCGCTCTCTCAACCTCTACGCCGCGCGCAAGACCGCGCGCAGCCGTCCGGCCCTGCGCGTCTGAAACCCCCCTTTTCCAGTCCACGGTAAATAAATCGCAGGTCCGCTTGAGCCGATGATGCCCGGTTTTGGGCAGGGTGGTCGTCTCACCCTCTCCCCCACCCACCAAGAAGAGGTCCGGGAAGATGGGTTCTCTCACATCGTCCAGAAAGGGGGCGACGGGGTGCAGTACGGCTTTTGGAGAGGGCCCCGGAGTCGGGGGGGTCGGGCTCGGCGAGCGGTCGCGGTGATTTAAGACATTTGGCGCGGGTAGCAACTAAGGGTTATGTATTTTATGTAGAATAATCAGATCCGGCTACGCCCTCGTCGATGGAATCGGCTCAGTTTGCCTTGTCTGTCTCCTCTCTCTCTCTCTCTTTCTCTACCGGTGATGGCGCTGCTTGGTCCGTTTCCGTGTAAGCGGCTCCCCTCGGCCTGGGATGCATGACATGGGGTGTGTGGGGAACCGGGCGTCGCTGGTGTGCGGTGCGCAGACTCGAATGATGGATATCCGTAATCGATAAACGGTCATCTTGGGAGGTCTTGGATGACGACCCTGTTGCGTCAACTTGGTCCCGACGTCACCGGCCGTCACTCGTCCCATTTTGCCCCAGATACGCGCCTCTCAACAACAATCCCCCTCCGTTGATATCATTTATTGGGGATGGGTGTGTACGTGTGTGTGTTCGTATCTACTTAAGAGACGAATAGAACAACAGTCTGTACATGTCAACTGGAATCTAGCAAACCAATTATACCCAAGAAACATATACCATCACCCAGATAACATCACCATCCAGACAACAACAACAACAACAACACCACCACCGCCCATCATGACCCCCCAAAGCAAAAAGGTCTTCCAGCTGACCGGCACCTGCAACAACTACGAATGGGGCCGCAAGGGCCGCGAGTCCCTCGCCGCCCGCCTGTGCGCAAACACTCCCGGCGGCGGCTTCGAGCCCGCCGACGACCAGTACTACTCGGAGATGTGGTTCGGCGACTACCCCGACTTCCCCGCCCGCGTCCTCGACACCGGCGAGCCGCTCCGCGACCTCCTCAACCGCGACCCGGACGCCCTGCTCGGCCCCAAGGTCGTCCGCCACCTCGACGCCCAGCTGCCCTACCTCCCCAAGATCCTCTCCATCGCAAAGGCCCTGCCCCTCCAGATCCACCCGGACAAGGCCCTCGCCTCCCGCCTGCACGAGGAGGACCCGGACGCCTTCTCCGACCCCAACCACAAGCCCGAGATAGCCGTCGCCCTCGGCCCCTTTGAGGTCTTTGCCGGCTTCAAGCCTCTCGACCGCATCGCCCCGGCCTTCAACCTCCCCGCCCTCCGCCACTTCATCCCCGACGGCACCACCGCCTGGTCCGACGAGACCCTGCGCGAGGTCGTCCGCCGCATCCTCCTCGCCGACGACGCCGCCGTCGAGCGCGCCGCATCCTCCCTCCGCGACGCCGCCGGCGTCTTCGGCCCCGGCGACGCCCACGTCGCCGACCTGCTCCCCCGCCTGCAGGCCCAGTACGGCCCCGCCGACCCCGGCACCCTCGTCGCCCTGCTGTGCATGAACTACCTCGTCCTCGACGCCGGCGACGCCCTGTACATCCCCGCCGACGGCATCCACGCCTACCTGTCCGGCGACATCGTCGAGTGCATGGCCCGCTCCAACAACGTCCTCAACACGGGCTTCTGCCCCCCCGCCGACCGCAGCAACGTCGACCTCTTCACCCGCGCCCTCACCTTCGCCGCCCACAGCGACGCCGACGTCCTCCTGCCCGCCGAGCCCAGCCCGCGCGGCGCCCGCGGCCGCACCGTCGTCTACCCCCCGCCCCTGAGAGAGTTCGACATGCTCAAGACCGACCTGACCGCCGCCGCCGCCGGGGACGACCGCAGCGTCGAGGTCATCCGCGCCGGCGAGGGCCCCGCCGTCGCAATCGTCACCGACGGCGAGGGCGTCCTCGAGGCCGACGGCAACACCTTTGACGTCAAGGCCGGCTACATCTGGTTCATCGCCCCCGGCGTCGAGGCCAAGTGGGAGACCAAGGGCACGCTGCAGATATTCACCACCGTGGTTTGATTACGAGAGGGAGAGAGAGATAGACAAAACAATTGTAAACTATTGATAAAACTACGACATGATGACATGATGATCAACCAACCAACCAACATTACAAAGAGCGATGCTTCACACCCCCCAGCTTGGGCATAGTACCTCTTTGAAGTATTTCCAACACGTTTTGGACTGGTGGTATGCAAAAGTCCAGTACGAAAAGCGAGGGAACTGGCTGCCCGAAAGCCCCCGGCCGCCGAGCTGCAAAAGGCGCCCGAGGAAATGCTCGTCTTGACCAGTCGCGACCGCCCAGTCCAAGACGCTGTACCTGTACTTCTTGACCGTGCCAACGTGCTCGATACACTCTGGACCGGCCAGAGGGAGCGTGCCGCTGGCCTGCACGAGGGTCTCAAAGATGTGCTTCTTGCGCCCGAGCGCCTGCTCCCGCAGCACCACCTCAACACCCCTCTCTCGCAACTCCTCGTGGATTCCCGCGTTCTGGTCCGCGACGTACCTCTCGTTGTCCCACAGGAGGACCCGCTTGAATCTGATCTCGAATCCGGGGAGGGCGCACACGGGCAGCAAGCCGCCGGGCCGCCAGCGCTCGATGCAAGAGTGGACGCCGAGCTTGTCTCGCATCCAATTCTCGCCGTTGCGCTCCACCAGCCTAACCATCTGCTTCCATATGCTGTCGTGCCTGTCGTGCTGCATGTGGACGTCCCTGTAGACCCGGCCGAGGGCCACCTCCAGGGGCGTCGGCAAGGATGCGGGGCGGTTCTCGATCCTGGCGCCAAAGGCCAGCAGCATGTTCACGGCCTGTTCGTCGAGCCAGAAGACGGCGTAGTGAAGAGGGGTGAAGCCTTCCCTGTCAGCAATGTTCGGGTCGGCGCCGTTTTTCAAGAGCCACTCGACGAGCTTGGGCCGGTAAAAGCTGCCATCGCCGATTCGGTTGTCGAACCGGTGGCTCAAGAGAGATAAGAGGGGCGTAGCCCCATACGGCTCGGTGATTTCGTTCATCTGCTGCCGGATGGCTTGGTTATCTGCGCCGAGCATCGCGGCGGGGATGCGCTCGTCGTCCACCAGAGGCTGCATGAAAAACAGTTGAAACGGCGTGAACTCACCGTATTCCTCAACGTCCAAGACGCTGCGGTCGACCCAGAACGTCTGGGATATCTTACAGCCTTCATCCTGCGTGTCAAAGCCAACGTTTTGTCTCAGCGACAACGCCCGTCTGCCGAGAGTATGTGCCAAAAGAGTTTGTACGGCCCCGTAGAGACTTTCGCGCAAAGTGGTTTCCTTACCTGTGATGAGATTATCGGATAGGTCGTCCGGAAGAAACAGACTGTGGAACGGCGTGACCATGTAGAACTCACCGTTCTCGAGGTCCTGGCACTGCGGTGCTGTAGAGGCCACGCCAAGCGGGTTGGCGCCTAGATTCATCAGTGATTTGATATGGGGAAGATTGATACGCCTGCAGGCAAAGTTCAGGGCAGTTTGGGGGGTCCTTTCCCTGAGATGCGGATGGGCGTAAACCAGAGTGCCGCGCTGTGCTCCGCCCGCTGTGGCATCGTTGACGGCAACCCCGCGAGAGACAAGCTCCTCGATGGCGGTGTGGCAGTCGGTCGAGCGGAGGCAAACAGCGTGCAGAGCATTGAGTCCAACAGCGAGCGGTGTGTGCAGGTTCGCTCCACGTTGGAGCAGCTTGCTAACCATTCTTCCAGAGATGGCGTGGTGGAGGACCGGGATCGATAGCGAGTGTACCGTGGTTCCCCCGTGGTTAAAGTCTGCGTTGTGGTGCACTAACAGATCGATCACGCCGATTAGGTCTGCAGCGACGGCGAAGGCGAGAAGCTTGGCATTCGGGTCGGCTACCTTTGCGAAGAAAATGGCTGGAACCCGGGCTAGGATCCTTTCGGTGATGGCCTCGGCGTTTGAAATGGCCGACATGGCACAATGGACGGGTGTTACCATGTCCACGGCACCCACCTCCTCGGGATCCTCGAGCATGGAGTCGTTGCTCTCAGAGAAGAGCCCGGCGGATCGCAAGTTTCCCGAGCCAGACGAATAAAACTCGTGAGCAGCGTCTGCGCCATTGTCCAGAAGTAGCTCGACGACCTCCAAGTAACCTTTCGAGGCAGCCACCATCAAGGGCGTTAACCTGGGCAGCGCAAGACCGGACGGCACATAGTCTGGTCTGGCCTTTTCTTGCATTAGCGCTTGGCCGACGAGGTTTATGTGGTTGTTCGCCGCGGCGTGGTAGAGGGCTCTCGGGTTTTCGCTCTCGGCATCCCATCGGAGAGCGATGAGGATAATCTTCTCACGGTAAAAGCGGCTAACCATGCTCGCTTTCAGCATGGACGAGGTGGGGTACATGTACTTGCCGCCGTCTCCGTTCGTCAAATCGCGGAGCATATCATCGTTGCTGGCATCGTCCCAATCATCAATATGGGCACCGCCATTGTTGGCCGAGCCTCTCGGCCGATTCGTTTCAAGCTCCTTGCCAAGATGTTCAGCAATAGTGATGAAGATTTCAGGAAGAATTCCAATTTTGAGGTCTTTCAACTCGCGGGGAGGTCGATAAAGAGACATGGTGAAGCGTGCCAGACGAGTGACTGGGGGTTCTGAAGCAATGTCTATCTGCAATAGACGTATATATCTTGACTGAGAAGTACCAGACTGCGGCCAGATGAACCAAGACTCAGCTCATTAATATATCGCTGCGGGAACGTTGAACACTACTCAAGGGGACTTGGGCCTAGTCGACCGACGGAACCACTGGTATCAAAGCACCTTTGTGCAGACTCGGTGTCATTGTGTCGACTCAAATCTATTCAAAAAAGAAAATCAAGAGCTTTGTCTGAACTTGGAGGTGATGGTTCATTTCTAGGCTGCGTGAACTGGCTTGTGACAGACAATGCCCTCGCACCCGCAGCTGTCATAGATGGACAGGGCCATGTGGCTTTCTTCAATCATATCGTCATTGTTCCTTGTCATTTTCTCCGTCTTTTTTCTTTTCCGTCTCCACCGGCACGGGCGGGTTGATGAGGCTTAGTACTTGGCGTCCTTGCTGGAGAGGAAACCCTTGAGGATGCCGACGATCTTGTCGAGAGCGGCGAGGTAGACGCGGAGCTCGTCAGCGACCTTTGTCTGGTCGGAGCCAAGCTTGGCGTAGAAGTCCTTGCGGTAGGGGCAGGCGCTCATGGCGGCGCTGAAAATGGGCTTCACGAGGAAGCTGTGGTGAGGCTTGAGGGTGGTCGAGTAGGCGGCGCGGAAGGAATCTGCGAGCTCCTCAGAGTCCTTGGCAACGTTCTGGCTGAGGGCAATGCAGGTGAACTCGAGGCCACTGGAGGACGGGGTTGTCAGCTTTCATCCATGCTCCGGTGTGTGCGTCGAGACTGAGTAGCTGGCTTACCGGTTCAACCAGACGAGACCCTCGGTGGCAACGTGCTTCTTGGTGGCCAGCTCGTTCTTGACGAGGTCCTGGAGGGTGGCGGACTCGGCGGGAGCAGCCAGCTGGCGCTCACGGAGTTTCTGTACAACAAGAGGGTATCAGCAGCTGTTGGGCTATGAACAAAGGGAACAATGGTGAACAAAACGCGCTGTTCAGGAGGACTCAATGGAGGGAGTAGACGCCAATGAAAGGGAGGGGGGTTTTGAGAGCATGGTTCTTACCTTGATGTTGCCGCCCATATCGCTCTTGACGGGACCGAAAGCAACGCCTCCAAGGGCATCTGGAGGACAATCAATTGTTAGGAGAATGGACCGGCAAAGACTATTGGTTGGCATTGTGGCCGCTTTGTTGGAGAATGGCAGCGAGCAAACATACCAAAAATGGTGGTCAGAGACTCGGCGGCATCGAGGAAGTCGGTGGTGGCGATGGCATTGTCCTTCTCGGCATCGACGGGAACGTCAACGAAGGACTTCTTGAAGGTGTCGAGGTAGGTACCGCCGGGGGGGATCTGAGCTGCCATTGTGTCTGTATGAATCTCGAGGTGGAACTTGGAGGGTTTGTTTGAGGGTGGAAAGAGAAGTTGAAGAGGGACGAGGTGTGGGATTTGTTGAGGAAGAGGGAGGATGTCGAGACCAGAAACCAGAAACAAGCAAGCCGGTAAGGGAATCCGAGGGGCGGTCAAGCATGCCTAGGAAAGGAGAGAGCCACACATACGCAGCGGAAGCAGCAGCAGCAACGGACTCTCTCGCACCTCATACCAGGGGACCGACCCCACTGGAGCATTGCCCTCCCGAGTCTCTGACAGGCTGGACCTGGATCGCACAATGGGGGGATTGAATGTGCTAAACCGTAGCTGTCGCAGTGGGGATACGGAGGGGTACGCAGTGAGGGGGGGGGGCGGGAGGGGGCATTGAGGGTCCAATGGTGGCGCTGCAGGCCAGCTCTCATGCTGATACACTCAGCACAGTGCCAGCGTAGCTACCCCTCATTCCTTTGCTCTACCAGAGAAGACACAGAGACGCAATCTATCCCACTGTGTTCATAGGCCTTTTGTACAGTGCATCGCGGGGTCACGGAAAAAAGAGAAGGCGGACCTCCGATCGTATAACTAGTACGGATACGCGGTACGGATACAGTGCCGTACCTTCAGCAAGTACGTACCGCCGGCCATGCTTAGCTCAGCATTCTCCCCTCTCCCACCATCCACCGTCTCGAGTTCATTAATGGCCTTCCCCATCCTCTTAAGACAAAGTCCGATATCAGCATGCCCACTACTACCATGGCGGTCGGGACGACACAGCAGCAGCCTTTGACAGGCACGGCACAGGCAAGGTCTGCAGATACCCAGCCACGGAACCGCCGTACAGTTGTCACCACCATCAACTACTACGACGACCCCGGTGATGGGTCTCCCCCGACCCCAATCGTCGTAGGGGGGTAAGCCTGCTTTTCAGTCGCCGTCTCTTGTTGTGGCGAGTGCCATTGTTGACATCTCCCCATGTTCTCACATGCTCATGTCCTTGCCTGCTTCCAGTCAGAAAGTCACAAATGAGAGAAAGATGACGCCTCGAACCATGACAGTGACCGACGTCTCGGGCGACGAGGACAGCTTCACCCTCGACACCCACGGCTTCCAGTACATCCGTCACACGAGTGTCGAGAAGGACTTTGCCGACGAGGAAACGGTCAGGTCGGTTTACTACCCCGAGATGGAAAGAGTGTACAAGGAAATGTGAGTCGCTCGCATCTCGGTCGCCCCAGCCAGCCCTCGGCTCGAGCGGGCCGGCGTGGGCGGTGTAGGGGTCGCTCAAACCCTAGAACCCATGCTCACCAGGGGGGTCATGGACGAACCAGCACGGGAGCCAGCAGGGTCGTCATCTTCAACCACCAGATCCGCCGGGGCCCGGCCAACTGGCACAGCTTGGGCGAGCGGAACACGGAGCACCGCGGGCCGCTGCATAAGGCGCACGTGGACCAGTCGTACGAAGGCGCCGTCATGATGGCGAGGCACCATCTCGGCGACGAGGCCGACGAGCTGCTGAAGCGCCGTTTCCAGATCATCAACATTTGGCGGCCCATCAAGACGGTTCACAAAGACCCGCTGGCCGTCGCCGACGGGAACACGGTGGCCGAAGAGGACCTCGTGCCGGGGGCCATCATCTACCCGAGACACCGGGCCGAGACGTGGACCATCAAGCCCAACCCGGCGCACCGGTGGTACTTTAAGGACAAGCAATGCCCGGACGAGCCGCTGCTGATCAAGTGCTTTGACTCGGACACGTCGGTGGTTCGGCGGGCGGCCCACTGTGCGTTCCGCGACCCGGAGATGGACGATATGGAGTCCCGGCAAAGCATCGACATCCGGGCGCTGGTATTCCACTGAAATGCCGACTCGGCCGGATTGTCGGCAAGAGGCTAGTGGAACATGTCTCGGGGAGGCGTGGCATGGTGTCTTGGTCTGGCCATTCCGTTGGGTCCAAGGCAAGGGGATATACATCCAACTCAAACAATTTCTAGTGTAGGCGTGTGAAGGCGACGATAATGATGTGATGACGATAGACCACGTGGAAAGACAGAACAACACCCAAGGCGCCCCCCCCCCCCCCCCCCTCCAATGGAGCAAGGGCGATTGGATCTGGCAAATGGGGTGCCAAGACATAGCATATCGCCCTATGAAGGGGCTCGCAGGCGATCTTGTTTGACTGAGGGTGGCGTCCCTAGTAGTTTGACAAGGTCTTAAAATTCAAGCCTCATTCATGACTGACTAGACTCGTTGCGTTATACGGTACTTTTGGCAGCAAACGTCGGAATTGTGTCGGTATGGCATGCTGTGGAATCGGGAGAGATAGGCACGGAGGCCGATCTCACCTCGGCCTCCAGACGTGACATAGCAAACCGCGTCAGTCAAGCAACACTCTCTATACCTCGAGCTAGCCCCCGAACTCACCCAGGAACCCCGTTTCGAGGACAGGAGCACGCATACTGTACATAATCGGAGACACATGCACCTGGCTCGTCGTAAGAAGCCGATTAGCGGGAGGGACGTGCTTGGGTGACGTCACAGACATGGACGCGTAAAGCTGGCCGGGGGACCCAGGACGATTGCAAGTTTCCACTCCCTCGATAACGAGGAAAAGCCAGCCACGACAAGCCAATGCACCATCACATTAGGTATGCGAGTAGGCGCGTGCTGTAATTGCAGTCGTACACTCGGACAGTTCCGAATGAGTGGCGGTATGGCGTGGCATCTCGTTGATAGGGACAAGTCGGATGTCGGCACTGGTTCTCGTCTGGGCAGACGCTAAGGAGAGGTACGATAGGCTCTTATCGACCAAAAGAAGCAAGCAAGCTGCATGTCACGGCCTACAGTCATTCGCGCTACCGACCAGTGGTTAATTGTCACAGTGCCTTCAAGCCCGATGACAGAGGCAAGTCTCAAGTAGTGTATCCGTAGGTATTTTTGAAGGAGCTCGTGCTAGCGCCTTATCGATAAGGCACACAGCGATACGTACTGTCCTGCAGCATTACCTAGCTGCCCTAGGTACATAGGTACCTACCTAGCATCTACTAGGTAAGTAGGTACCGGCCGTCGTACAGATACTAAAATGACGTCAGCACAGAAGACAGAGTAGCGGCCCACCTCTACACCAGCGAACGGCCAGTGACGGCGTTCCGTTGACCAATTCGATCAGCTGTTGGCCAATGCAATGCCAACCGAGGCGTCTTCCTTGCACCGAGCGCGGGGCAACGGTTCCTTTACGTTTTGTTTTTGCTTGCAAGTTGGTTTGTGTGTCTGTGTTTGTGTCTGTGTTTTTTTCTATCAAAACAAATCACAGTGACATCTGACAGGAGGCAATCCCAAGCATAGGACTCTACAATACGATGCAGCGGCTCCCATTTTGCTGGCTATTCACAAGTACCTATTCATCCAAGGTCCAGCTGGCACAGTTGCTCCCCTGATCATGGTCAATCCGATAGAGCACGCGATCCCTTGCTGGATGAGCCGAACAGTGCGATACAGCTGCTAACCTAATCTAGGTAGGCGGTATCCGTACATCGGCGCGATTGCCATTATGCCAGTCCTCGACTCGACTTGTCTCCGACCCAGTCGATCGTCAGATGCGCCCCGCCGTGCCGTTCCATGCACACCACTTGTACTCGTGGCCTCCTACTACCACTACTCAACCAGTTCACATTGCAGTTAACCTTGCATACATACATACCTACCCAAGCGTACGACTGTAGGTACCTGCCGGTGCGGTGCGGCGCAAGTGTGGCAGGCAATCAGTGTACGGGGACTGGACTACATGACTACATACACAGTCGCCCCAGCTTAGCCTTGCCCCGCGCCCTGTCTCACCACCACCACCACCACCACCACCACCACCAGCAAAACGTCGTGTCGCATCAGTTCCCTTGTGCCCACACCTTTTTTTCTGGTTTTATTTCCGTTCCTCTGATCCTCTCCTAGCCCGCAACCCTGCTTCCGGTCACCCTGCCTTGCTGCTAGCTTTCTTACCCATGACATAGCCTGGTTCTCCAGCTTTTCCATAAGCTTTCCATGCGCCGCCCTTTTCTCCTTGCCATTCTTCCGTCTTGTCAATTCTCCTCTTCTCCATTCTCGAGCTTCTCACTCTTCCCATGATGCGATAATTGTCTTTTCATACTAGACCAACCCCACTATAGCCTATGACCTAGAGATACCGTTTGATATAGAGAGACAGAGAGAACGAAACAGACCGCCAGCTTGCGTAACTGCCAGTCCATTAACCCCCTCCCCATTCCGGTTGTCCGTCCCCCCTCCACGCATCCGCAAACATGGGGCTCATGACGACAAGCGACCATGGCCACAAGGAGGACAGTGAGGGCGGCGGCTTCATGGACAAGCTGAAGAAGCCCTTCCGCGAGCTCGAGGAGAAGCTCGAAGGCACCCATCTGCACGACGCAAAGGTCCACTTGGTGCACAAGAAGCACCAGATTGGCAAGCTCGCCAACCTCGTAAGCCGGCATCCTCTCTCCCCCCCCCCTGTCTCCCTCTCCTTGGCCCGTAGACAAGCACTTTACGACTACTCCTCGGCCCGCCACCCTCACCAAGACATCTGGCCGCTGACGTGCTCCCCAGTTCAACACCAACCACCGCCACGACGAAGAGCACGAAAAGGCCACCGACGAAAAGAGGGCCAAGATCGCCGAGGAGCACCGCTTCAACTCCTTCTTCCCGGAGCGCGATGGTAACCTGATCAAGTGGTACGTCGACGGCCGTGACTACTTCTGGGCCGTCTCCGAGGCCCTCGAGGCCGCCAAGGAGACCATCTACATCTGCGATTGGTGGCTGTCGCCTGAGCTGTTCCTGCGCCGCCCCCCCTACCCCAACCAGGAATGGAGGCTGGATCAGGTCCTGAAGCGCCGCGCCGAGGCCGGCGTTCAGATCTACATCATCGTCTACCGCGAGGTCGAGGCCGCCCTGACCTGCAACTCGGCCCACACCAAGCACGCCCTGCAGGCCCTCTGCCCCGAGGGCTCGCCGGGCTACGGCAACATCAAGATCATGCGCCACCCCGACCACAACTTCATGTCAAACGGCGGCGATATGACCTTTTACTGGGCCCACCACGAGAAGTTCATCGTCATCGACTACGCCATGGCCTTCATCGGAGGCCTGGATCTCTGCTTCGGCCGTTGGGACAGCCATACCCACCCCCTGGCCGACGTGCATCCCGAAGGCGTCCAGAATGAGGTCTGGCCGGGGCAGGACTTCAACAACAACAGGATCATGGACTTCCAGAACGTCCAAGACTGGAAGCAGAACGAGCTTAGCAAGGCCCAGTACGGCCGCATGCCTTGGCACGACGTGTCCATGGGCCTCATCGGGCCGTGCGTCTACGACATTGCCGAGCACTTTGTGCTGCGCTGGAACTTTGTCAAGCGCGACAAGTACAAGCGCGACGAGCGCTTCGACTGGATCCAGCTGCGCGGCCGGCTGGCCGACGACGAGGACCTTGTCGGGGTCCAGCGCCCCAAGCACCCCGTGGGCGAGTACATCACCCACCCGCTCGACGAGCGCAGCCTGCACAACCTCGAGAACAGGGGGACGCTGCACGCCCAGATCGTGCGCTCCAGCGCCGACTGGTCCAGCGGCATCCTGACGGACCACTCGATCCAGAACGCCTACAGCGAGATCATCAGCAAGGCCGAGCACTTTGTCTACATCGAGAACCAGTTCTTCATCACGGCGACGGGCGATCAGCAGGCGCCCATCCACAACACCATCGGCCGCGCCATCGTCGACGCCGTGGTCCGGGCCGGCAAGGAGGGCCGCAAGTTCCGCGTCATCATTCTCATCCCCGCCATCCCCGGCTTCGCCGGCGACCTGCGCGACGACGCCGCGACGGGCACCCGCGCCATCATGGACTACCAGTACAAGTCCATCTGCCGCGGAGAGCACTCCATCTTTGAGCAGGTCAGGAAGGAGGGCGTCGACCCGCGGAAGCACATCTTCTTCTTCAACCTGCGCTCCTACGACCGGCTCAACAAGACGCCATCAGTCGATAAGCGGGAGAAGGACACTGGCGTCAAGTACGCCGAGGTCCAGCGCGCGCATGCTGAGGAGGTCATGGGCTCGGGCATTCACGGGTCCAACGACCCCACGGAGAAGGAGCGCGACGAGCACATGGGTGGCAAAGCGGAGCAGACGGGCGCGGGCAGGGAGGCGGCGGCGGCGAGCGCGCTGGACGCGAAGCGGCGGTTCGAGGCCAGCCTCGGCGACAGCGAGCTCAAGGGCGAGTTTTCGGTGGCGCACCACGCCATGGCCAACTCGGGCAGCATCGAGGATGAGCCGTGGGACGACGAGGACCCGGAGACGGAGGTCCGCAACTGGATCCAGGAGGAGCTGTACATCCACTCCAAGCTCCTCATCGTCGACGACCGCATCGTCGTGTGCGGGTCCAGCAACCTCAACGACCGCAGCCAGCTCGGGTACCACGACAGCGAGCTGAGCATCGTCATGGAGGACACGAAGCGCGTGGCCAGCACCATGGACGGGCAGCCGTACGAGGCCGGGTGGCACGCGACGTCGCTGCGGCGGTACCTGTGGCGCGAGCACCTCGGCCTGCTCCCGGCTCAGGGGCTGGACGGGTCCGAGGACCCCAACGCCCATCCGCCGGGCCACTCGCCCAACGACGCGTGGGACCGCGACGAGACTTGGAAGTTTGTCGAGGACCCCATGAGCGACGATCTGTGGAACATGTGGACCGAGAACGCCACCAAGAACACGGAGCTGTACAGGCACCTCTTCCACGCCGACCCCGACGACCACAGTACGTACCTACATTATGTTTTTTTTTTTCATGTTTTTCTATGAGCGTTGTTCGGCAAACTATGGAACGAAAAGGGAAGCGTAGCTAACACGAGTGACCCCCTCTCTCTCTAGTCAAAACCTTTGAGGACTACGACAGGTACCTGCCCCCCAAGGGCGTAAAGGCCGGCCACATCTTTGACCAGTTTATGCCCGCCGCCGATGCGCGCAAGAAGATTGACCAGATCAAGGGCCACCTGGTCTGGTTCCCGCTTGACTTCTTGCGGGACGCCGAGATGGCTGAGAAGGGACTGCAGGTGAACCAGATAACGGAGAGCATCTACACCTAAGAAAGCTGCCGGGGGCTATGTGTAGACAAGACAAGAGTTGGGACTTCGGAATGAGACGGTACTTTGGCAATATTGGAGCGGCGCGAGAGAGTTGGGGCTGGGGATTTACAAGTTTTTAAACCTTGATGAATAATGTATAGAATACCAACAGCGGCCGTATGACAGCTGGGAGTTGCTCGAAATGAAATCTCTTTAATGCTATATTCGGATAGATACCGCGGAACACTCACTAGTGGCAATGAAACTGCGGATGCTTCTGCTGATACTGTGGCCAGATAGTATTACGAACGTCGATTCATGGCCTATGCTATGTTCTCTGTGTCTTATATTCCACGGGAAACCCTCTCCCAAGCGAACTTCACCGAGGCCTCACCGAACCCCCTCAATCTCGGTGACTGCGGGGTACACACCGAGTTTTTAGCCGCTCCCCTCACACCACCCCTCCATTCTCAATTGACTCACCCTTTTACCTCTCAAAAAAAAACAAATCCGCAGTGACCGCCCGCGCGTCCCGTCCCCCCCCTCCGTACTTCGAATCCAACACCGATTCCCCCGGCCGACGACTCCCTCCTCCTTCTTCCCTTCCGCGATAGTTCCCGCCTCTCCCCCCTGCGTCGTCGATACACCACAATCACGACTCCGAATCCGACGCGCGAAACGACGACGACGACGACGACGACGACGACAATGGCCTCCTCAACCGAAGCTCCGACCGCCGTCGTGCCCGCCGAGGCCGTCGGCGACGTGGCGGCCTCCTCGTCGGGCGGCCAGAAGGTCGACCCCTGGAACGTGTCTGGAGAGGTGGGTTACCCGCAAATACAAGAAGAGAAAAGAAAGAAAGAAAGAACCGAAAACTCGGTGTCGCGGTGCTTCGGCCGGCTGAGAGGGAAAGGCGTGGGCTAATCGGGGACGTGTGTGGACAGGTCGGCGTGGACGGCAAAGTCAAGGCCATTGACTACAAGGTACGCTCTCCCTTTCTGGCTGCTCCGTGGACGAGGGAAGTTGGCCCGACCCTCGCTAACACTTTTGGTCAGAAAATCGTCGACGAGTTCGGGACGAAGCTGATTGACGACGCCCTCCTCGAGCGCTTCGAGCGCGTGACCGGCCACAAGCCGCACCACTTCCTGCGCCGCCAGATTGTCTTCTCCCACCGCGACCTCGACCTCATCCTCGACCGCGTCGAGAAGAAGGAGCCCTTCTTCATCTACACCGGTGCGTCGCCCATCCTCCCCACCTCCCTCGCGTAGCGGATGGAACTGCTGCGGCCGAAAGGCGGCGCCGTTGGAATAAGACCGATGTCTTGTGTGTTCTGTGAACAGGCGGCTGACGAAGGGTTGTTGTTGTTGTTGTTGTTGTGCAGGACGCGGGCCGAGTTCCGACAGCATGCACATTGGCCACGTTATCCCCTTCCAGCTGACAAAGTGGCTGTCCGACGTTCTCGATGCGCCGCTGGTGGTATGTGTGACCCCGGACCTCGTCCCTCTCAAGACTATGATGCTGACCGAGACCACAAGATCATGATGACCGACGGTAAGAGGCGCACGCCCAGTCCAGGCTAGTGCTCGTGGCTAACAGCGGTGTCGTAAGACGAAAAGTTCCTGTTCTCCGAGAAGAGGACGGTCGAGGAGGTCCAGCATTACACCAGGGAAAACGCCAAGGACATGTGAGTTCGGGCATCTGGTTGCATGGTCTCTCGCCTGGACCCGGTCACTGACGGACGACTCGCAGCATCGCCATTGGCTTCAACCCCGAGCGGACCTTCATCTTCTCCGACTACGATTACATGGGCGGTGCCTTTTACAGGTGAGCCTAACCCCCACCCCCCTGAACCGGGGCTATAGACTGACCTCCCAAAGGAACATCACGCGCGTGGCTAAGAGAATCACCGTCAACACGGCCAAGGCCGTCTTCGGCTTCGACGATAGCTCCAACATCGGCAAGGTCCACTTCGCCAGCATCCAGGCCAGCTCTTCCTTTGCCAGCTCGTTCCCCCACATCTTTGGCGAGGACGAGAAGAAGACCACCCAGATCCCGTGCCTCATCCCCTGCGCCATTGACCAGGGTCCGTGTTTCCCCCGTACTCTTCCCTTCGACCGCATCGGTTCGGCGCTGACGCTAGACAGACCCCTACTTCCGCGTGACGAGAGATTGCGCCGCCGGCCTGCGCTACGCCAAGCCCTCTCTGATCCACTCCCGCTTCCTCGACGCCCTGCAGGGCCCCGGCTCCAAGATGTCGGCCTCGATCGAGTCGAGCGCCATCTTCATGAAGGACACGCCCAAGCAGATCCAGAACAAGATGAACAAGTACGCCTTCAGCGGCGGCAAGACCACGGCCGAGGAGCAGCGCGCCGAGGGCGCCGACCCCGACGGTATGCAAACGAGTCCCTTGGTTGACGCACGCTCGCCGCGATGAAGCTAACCGTGACCAAAAGTCGACGTCAGCTACCAGTACCTCCGCTTCTTCCTCGAGGACGACGAGGAGCTCGCCAAGATCCGCGAGGACTACCGCACGGGAAAGATGCTCACCGGCGAGATCAAGAAGAGGTCAGTACCCCATTCCCCAACCGACCCCGGGCAAACCAACATTGGAATTGGAATCGAAAAAAACACCGCCCGGCGTGCGCAGCGTGACCGCTAACGATGCTTTCTTTTCCGCAGATGCGCCGAGGAGCTTGCCAAGTACTGCACCGCCTTCCAGGAGAGGCGGGCCAAGGTGGACGAGAGCACCGTCGACCTGTTCATGGCCCGCCGGCCGCTCATCTGGTCGGGCGCCGAGAACCTCAAGTCCCTGCCCGTCCGCCAGGAGGCCGGGGACGCCGCCGCCGCCGCCGGTGGCGAGGGCGCCGACGGGAAGATGACCAAGAACCAGCTCAAGAAGCTCGAGAAGCAGCGCCAGATCGAGGAGAAGAAGGCCGCCAAGGCCAAGGAGAAGGGGGCCGCCAAGGAGGCGGCGACCGCCGGGGGTGCGTAGGCGACCGAAGATTAAAAAGTAAAGAAAAGGATACCTCGAAAGGAAAAAGGGGGGATGGGGGAAAAAAGAAGAAAGAAAAAAAAGAGAGAAATTATACCCGAGACTTTTTTACTGTGTCGTGCCATCGTCGGTCCGTGCTTGGTGCCTGAGTGATGTGAAGCGCGGATACCTTCTCTTGATCTGGCTTTTACATTAGGCGATGGGGGCAGGGAGGGGATGAGTTTGGACTACCCGTGGCGGGGAGATAGCCCGCGCCGGAAACGCTGATGCAGTAGCCATCTACGGAGAGATACATGTTTGTGTTGTTGGGGCACCGTGCCAATGGCACAGGACTAGTTATTATTGAGGCCGTATGCTGTGTGCTGTGTTGTCCTCGATTCGATATAGTCTATTAAGTACCGTGTGCGCTCTGCTAGCAAAAAAGAAGGGGGAAAAAATGAGGATTGCTTTTCTTCACCACCTGTACCAAAAGCCCGAACGGAAGAACTGATTCTGAGTTCTTTGATGAATAAATGATACATGCCCGTGAGAGTTGAGGATGCCCCTGCTTCGAGGAGAAAAAGGGGGACGTGCCGGAAATCGTCAAGAGAGCCGACGCGGAGGGTGGGAGCAGTTACTGCGAACTTTCCGTACCGTCCTCTTGGGCCTATTTGAGGCCATATAGGGCCTTCCAGACTCTTCCTTTCGGAATCAACCACCCTTGTGGTGGTTCTAAGAGGGGGGCTCTGATTACCGGCCCTGGTTGAAGTTCATCGAGTAGCCTCCGGTCTTCTCGTCCTTGACCATCTGGAAGTTGTCCGTGCTCAGCCCGAAAGGCTTGAGGATGCCGTTGCCCAGCTAAGAAGTATACCCGTGTCAGCCTCCTCCCGGTGAACATGATTAAAAAAGAAAAGAAGGGAGACTCGAGCGAATGCGGAGAAAGAGGAACAAAACAACGTGGGAGGAAAAGACAAAAGAAAAAAAAAAAAAAAAAAAAAACTCACATCCTTCAGCTTCCCCCACATCTCGGCCGTCTCCTTCTCCTGCGCGGCCTTTGTCCGCACCGGCAGCGCGCGCAGCTGCGCCTGGACAATCTTGCGGTCCGCGGGCGCCAGGTTCGGCATGGCCGCCAGCGCGCGGTAGTCCTCCTCGGCGCCGGCGAGGCTCTGCCAGCCGCCTTCCTCGCTGCGCGCCCTCGCCCGGCGCATCAGCGCCTTGGCGCGGATCCGGAGGACGTCCTCGGCGCGCCGGCGGCGGGCTGCCTCCTCCTCCTCCTCCTTCTCGTCTCTGGGCGGCTGCGGTGCGGGCGCGGCCTTGCTTGCGCCGGCGCTGACGATCTCCTCCTCCACGTCGTCGTCGTCGTCGTCGTCGTCGTCGTCGTCGTCCTTGCCCTCTTTCTCGGCGGCAGCGGCAGCGGCGGCGGCGGCTTTGTCCTTCTCGCGGCGCTCCCTCTCGAGCGCGGCCTCCTTGTCGATGCGATCGAGGCCGTCAAGGGCGGCGGTGGCACTCGAGACGGCGTCCTTCCACCGCGAGAGCTTGAGGTGGCAGGCGGAGATGTTGGAGCGCAGCACGGCGAGCTCGTAGTCGAGGTAGTTGGGGCAGGCGGCAACAGCCTCGTGGTACTTGGCGATGGCCTCGTCGTACTTTAACGAGGAGAAGAGGGCGTTGGCCGCCGTCTTGCTGGCGTTAGACTCGGCCAGGAGGGACTAGGGGGCTTGTGTTAGTTTGATGGGGATGTACATATATGGGTTGCATGGCGCCGCGTGGTGTCTGGCTCAAACGAATGAACCATGCATGGCTTTCACCATGGCGGCGGAACACAGAACGCGATTGAGATGGTCCCGACTAGAGCTTCATATAACGAAGGCTCCAAGAATGAGACGGTGAGAAACAAAATCAGAGGAGCTCAAAAACCTTACCGCCTCTTCCTCGGGTGAGAACCTCTCCTGGACCTCCTGTTCCTCCTCGTTCTCGTCCTCCTGGACGGGGTTGCCCTTGTCTTTGCCCTGAGGCTCGGGCTCCTTGGACGCCATTTCTTGAGAGAGATGAGGGGGTTCGAGTGCAAGAGTTGTCGAGTAACGTGTGGCTGGAGATTGTGAGTTCAAGGAGTGAGTAGCGACCAACCGGGATTATGTCGTCACCGTCGCTGTTCTTCGTACCCCACGTGGATCGTGGCGTGGTGGCGTGGTGGGGAGGGACGTTGAGGCTGTTCACATGTCTTGGGGCGCGTCGAAGCCACAACTGGCAACTGTAGTGGGGGTCCGGAGAACCCCAGTGGCTTGCGGCCCCCTGTTGCTTGGATTCCGGGGGCGTTGGCGCACGTAAAAGTTGAAAGAGAAACATCCAACGTTTACACGGTGTGTTGGTCCACTAGAGGTCATAGCAATTAAATACAACTCAGATCTCGAAAAATACTAAATACAAGCATACCCATTACGCACCAGTGTTTTCCCCTTCATTTTCGGAGACTATGACGTTCTCCTTGGTGTCTGTTGTCGGTATATGATGAGTTGATGGTACCGTAGTCCTCTTTAGAGGTCAAGCTCTCACGGACATTGGATAGACTAGTATTAAGCTAGCAAAGCCCGTCGACCTATAACTCGTTAGTAAAAGGCTAAATAATCTGCGGCTGTCAATGAATAGGGGTATTACTGAGTTCCCTGATCAGTGTATTCGAAAGTTTATCTGCTTGCCGTATGAGTGTTCTTGGGCCGAACAGCTACGTGCCGGAACGACGGACGCATTCATAGCTATTACTCGCTCGCGAGTCCCATAACTGAGAAGCCTGCGCAAGGATCTAAGCCTGGACGGTGAGGTTCTGCTGTTCAGCAACCTGCTTTGATCTGTTCTTTGCGGCCACTGGCAGAAACAAATGTGCCTGCAGCCAGGGATCATGAACCGCAGCGCAGACGATCAACCGCGTCCACCATTTTATGGATTTTCGATTATTATTAATTCAACCGGATGATTAATGTGATCTGATATTGTCCGACGCGTGCAAAGGCAACATCAGAGCAAGGCCAAGTAAAAGGCAAAGGAAATGTGTAATCTGTACGGGTACCCATCGACCGTCTCGGAGAGCTAGATAGCTAGATAGGTAGAAAGGTAGGAAGGTAAGTACCTAGGTACATATTCCAGTCGTTGCCCCACTTCCCCACCCTCGAGCCAATGCTTTCCCTTTCCCTTTTCTTTTTTTTCTTTCTTTTTCTTTTGGGCAAGAGCTGAGCGACCCCTCCATCGAGGTCGCATCTGTCGACCCCGCCGATCCTGCCTGCCGCGCCTGCCTCCATGGCACCTACCAACCTAACAACCTAGGATCCAATTGTTCCTTCCTTCCCTCAATTCCTCTTTGCGGCTCTTTCCCAGAAGGAACAAGGCGGTTGCTTCCTTAAAAAGGCCCTCAAAACGACGAAAACCCCCTCTGCTTTTCTGTCCTCACGTTACCCAACCGAGGAATCTCTTTCTCTTTTCCACCTTACCCTCACCCGACTTCCTTTCCCCTTCTCGTCTACACCTCGACGCTTCTTCCCTAAAACACTTCAAACACCAGTCTTGGCCGTTGTTCTACTACAGACCACATCCAATTCCTCAACGTCTTCCATACAGTCCTCGCTTTCCCCAACGTCATCATGGCCCCCCGTACCGAGTAAGTAACTTGAAGCTCCCTCCCCTTCGTCCGGTGCCAATCGTCTGACACATGCGCTTTCTCAGCTTCCCTCCCGTCCGGGCCTGCCTCTTCGACATGGACGGCCTCCTTCTCGACACTGAGGACCTCTACACCGCCTGCATTAACGTCATCCTCGAGCAGTACGGCCGCCCCCTCCTGCCCTGGAACATCAAGGCCAAGCTCCAGGGCCGTCCAGGCCCCGAGTCCACCCGCATCTTCCGCGAGTGGGCGCAGCTCCCCATCGATCAGGACGAGTACCAGAAGAAGCTGTCCGCCCTCCAGCGCGAGCTCTTCCCCAGCACCCAGCCCCTCCCCGGCGTCCCCGAGCTCCTCCAGAACCTGGGCCGCACCCGCTACTGGGACCTCAAGCCTGCCGACACAGCCGCCGACAAGAACCCCCACCGCGTCCACATCGCCCTGGCCACTTCCTCCCACGAGGCCAACTTCAAGCTCAAGTCGGACCACCTGACCGAGCTCTTCTCCGTCTTCCCCTCCCACCGCCGCGTCCTCGGCGACGACAAGCGCATCGCCGCCGGCCGCGGCAAGCCCAACCCCGACATCTTCCTGCTCGCCCTCAAGACCATCAACGACTCCCTCGCCGACGGCGAGAAGCCCATCACTCCCGACGAGTGCCTCGTCTTCGAGGACTCGGTCCCCGGCGTCGAGGCCGGCCGCCGCGCCGGCATGCGCGTCGTCTGGTGCCCCCACCAGGGCCTCCTCAAGGAGTACGCCGGCCGCGAGAAGGAGGTCCTCGCCGGCCGCACCGGTGAGGCTGGCCAGGTAGACATGCACCAGGTCGGCGACGTCGACGACGGCTGGGCCGAGTACCTCCCCACCCTCGAGCACTTCCCCTACGACAAGTTCGGCATGGTCATCCCCCCCATCGACGTCGACAACGAGCCCTTCATGAAGGAGAACGTCGGCGACGTCCTCGTCGACAGCACCAACGGCTCCTCTTGAGCGAGGGGAACTTGACAAGGGACGAGCGACAGACATTCGGCATTCGGATATGCCGTCATCCCCCACCCACCCCCAAGTTGGGTACCTGCCGACCTCTCCTGAAAAGAAAAAAAAGCTCTTTTTCTTTCTTTTTCTTTTCTTTGTATCTGCCGAACGATATCACGTAGAACGGCTATAGACGAAGCACAGATTTCACGACGATTGACGAATGGATGGATTGGCATCATAGAAGATGATTCCTGGCAAATAGGGATGGGGGGAAAAAAGGCAAATTAGACATACAACGAGTGTCTAGTGCAGGATACACCCTCGGTTCTTTTGCTTCTCCTTTTTGAGCATAGGCATTGCGATAGATTCCCAGGTTAGAGAGAAATGACACGTGCATACAGACGAACCCAGCTCACCCCCAATACCATGATACAAGTCGAAACGCGTATAGTAGTATCTGTCATCCCCTCCACACTCTCTACGCATGTGACATTCAAGCAACGACAGCGACGGAAACGGGTGTGGCCAGGACTGAATAACTTGAATATCCTATGGGTATGGGATGCCCCTCCCCCTTTGCAGAGCGCCCGGCTCTCCCTCTCGAATGCTAGAGGAGATCCACAGCTTGTTACCTTCCCCCCCTCATCTCCCGTCCACATTTCCCAAGACCAAGTCCTAAAACGCCAGGATAACAAAATACACAAAAAAGAAGAAAGAAAATAAAAAATGAAACAGAGGGTTTTAAACCATCAGAAAACATACACATCCAACTCCTCTCATGTTGCGGCCAAACGGCCAAGCGGCCAAGACGTTCCTTCCCTTCTCGTTCGCCGCGATGCTTTACCGTCTCCGTCCTTGTAGACCCCAAAGTCCCTTGCCCCCTCCCAAGAGGATGCGAAACATGAAAAAAAAAAGAGAAAAAGAATTGTTATAAAGAGGCTTTTTCTAAAAAATAAAATAAAAATCCATAAAAAACCTCGAATGGAAGAAATGTGGCCGTGATCGTAAGACGACAGCCAGTGCCATCTTTCTATTCATCATCCGCGATGCTGATAACGATGACCCGCCTGTGTTTGTTGAGGGAATAAAAGGTATTACAAGTAGACCAGAGGGCCCCTGGGTCCTCCCGAGAACAGAGTAGTAAAAGGGTGAAGAAGTTGCGCAAAAGTCGGCTTCAGGGTTGGCCATGCCAGAGGAGCCGTCTCTGCTAGGAAAGAATCATAGGAAGCTCTGCGCGCTGTGCGTGTTTGTCCGGTTGGGTGGCTCGTACCAGTTCTGGTACGGGTGGTTCGGCAGGCTAAAGTCGGCGAACGAGAGCGGGTTGACCAGCGCCTTCATCGGTGCCGACGACGCGGCGCTCGACCCCGGAGGGCCCGACGTGCCCGACGCCGACGAAGTCGCCATAGCGGGCGGGTTGCCAGGCGGGCCAGGCCTACCATATCCAACTGAGCCCCTATGGTCGTTGATGCTAGGGAGGGTGGAGTGGGAGGGCGCGGGGCTGGGCCAACCCCAGGTCTTCTTGAGCTCGCTGTGGATCTTACCGAGTCGCCAGCCGCTCTCGGCGTGGATCTTGTCGAGGATCTCGAGAACCTCCTCCTGCTCGCGCGGATCGGTCAGGACGGCCGAGGCGATGGCGAGCGAGCGGATAGCAACGGAGGCGATGCCGCGGTCTTTGGTGTGCGCGACGATACCGCAAACCTGATGCGCGTGGTGCAACTGCAGGGCACGCATCTCCTCCGACGCCTTGCCCGGCTCCATGGGGTTGGTCTGGGCGAGGATACACTGGGCGGTGTGGTAGAAGAGGCGGCCAATAATGGCGGCGCGCTTGATGAGCCTATACGTAAGCTGGTTAGGAGAGAGACCATTGTGAAGGGGGGAGGAGAGGCGCGAAACTTACCAGACGTTAGGGAAAGCAGACTTGGACTTAGTCTGCGAGGGGTAAAGGTACCCAAAGGGGTGCATCGTCCTCGGACACACGTTGTTCCACCTGTCACACAACCTCTTCAAGTCTTGCCATTGCGCCAACCGGTTGCCTAGGCGGATTTGCTCGTCATGGGGGCTCGGCTCCTGGAATCGCGGGATCGTGGCGCGGAAGTTGGCAATCTTGGCAACGATGTACAAGATCCGCTGCACCCACAGCTCCTCCTGGCCGAAGCCGTCGTCAGAAGCCTGCCTCGTAGCTGCCACGACCGCGGCGCCGGTGTCTGCCGCGAAGTCCACGCCCAGACCCCACTGGTCCGGGTCCCACGACGTCTGCCAGTTGAAGGCCAGGCAGGAGAGCACCTCCATGCCGATGTTGAGCCAGAAGCAGGCGGCGCCGATGCCGGATGACTTGGCGTCCCACTTGCACTCGCGGATAAGGGCGCGGGCGCCAGCGATGTGGTTCATGCGCTGGGCGGGCTTCTCGGACATGATCTCGTAGACGTTGAGGACAACGGCGGTGGTGGCGCACTCGCCCATGTTGCGGTCCGGGTTTTGCAAGCTGCGGAGGAGCTGAGTCGTGGCGGTATCGTAGTAGAAGAGGGCCTTGTCGTCCTTGTAGGCCGGGTTGACGAGGGTCAGGTGCTTGACGCCGCAGGCGAGGCAGGCGTTGAGCAGCATGGGCGACTTGAGGGAGTGATAGGGGATGAGGCGGGAGAAGTGCTTCTCCTTGTCGAGCGAGTCCATCCAGACGCCGACCTCCTCGACGAAGACCTGCATGTACAGGATCTCCTCGGGCGAGTTGAGGTACTCCCTCTCCCGGGCCGACGCCTTCTCGCTCGGCGGCGGCGTCATCATGCCATCGGGGGCCAGTGGGTTGGCGGCGGCGGCGGCGACGCTGCCGCGGTAGCTGTGGGGCGGCGCCGTGGGCTGCGGCACGATGGACGCTGCGCTCGATGCGTCGCTGTCGCGATGGCCGGGATGGCGAGGGGGGGCATCGTGGTACGAGGCAAAGTGGTCGTGAAGGACGTACGGGTGAGGCCCCGTGTGGGCAGAGTTTTGAGGCGTGAGGTAGGGGTTATCGCTGTCACGACGCGGGTGCACCGACTCGGCGGCCCGCGGCGGCTCGTGACGGTGGGCGTAGCTGTACATGGGCGGCGGTGGGAGGTGGTGCAAGATGTGAGTCCTTGGTGATACGGATATATCCGGGCCACTTGCGTGTGCTTGAGGGAGGAGATGGCCTTGGTGACGAAGGGTTGGTTCAAGATGGCTCGTGTGCCGAGGGGGGGCGGCGGCTGCTGCTGCTTGCTTATCCAGGTGAGCGTAGCGGCCAAGGCCTCCCACGTATTCTGAGGCGATCTGCCTCGATTCGTCCTGAAATTGGACTGGCGGCTGCGTTAGCACCGACACTTTCTGGGGCAACTCACGCGAAATGGCGACCTACCTGACCACTCGACGGTGGGCGGCATATATGGCGGCTGCTTGACTTGCACATCTATGAAGTTTAGCCGCACGCCGCGCTTGCACTCGCGGCTGCTTTTCCTGCAATTCAAACACTCCGGTAACCCTTCGTCACATTTTAGATGCCTTTCTCTACACGTTAGACAGCCCGTCCGCACTCGTTTTGATTTCGTGGCGGTCACAGCGACGGCGGCGGCCGACTTCTCTGGTGATTTGGGCTTGATGAGGAGGTCCCGCGAGGGGGTGAGCGAGTGAATGCTCGCACTGCGGCGGGGCGGGATGTGGGAGCTGGGCAAGTTCATATTGGCGGGTTGAAAGTGCTGATGCTGGTAATCCTGCTGGTGATAGGGCGGTTGATGATAGAGACTTTGCCTGAGATATGAGTTGGAGGCGGTGGAATCGGCTTCGGGGTCGAGGGAAAAGTCCGGGGTGAAGTCGGAAGAGAAGCCAAAGGAGAGGGATGAGGTTTGGTCGTCTTCGTCGACGTCGTCGTCGACGCCTAGGTAGGGATCCTGTACGAAGTTGAGGGACGGATGCTCGTAAGGTTGCAGCACCGCCGAACCAAGGCTAAAGCCTGGCACGAGGACGCCTGCAGAGGCGTCGTATGCCTCCAGGGCTGCCAAAAAGAAAAAAGAAAAACCCCGCCTCTGGTGAGTAGAGACGGAGAGGGTGTTCAATGAGGGCTCGAAAGACCTGATTGACGCGATTGAGGCTGTAGCACGGGTACAGTCGTGGGCATGAACGAGGTACGGCTTGGTGTGAGAGGCGGCAGAATGTCGGTCGTCGGGTTTTGACGGTCTCACGATCAGAAAGTGAGAAGGATTGGCGGGGAAAGTTGAGTGAGCGGCTAGGGGGCTCAGATGTATGGGGGTCCACGGATCCCTTAAAGGGTGCTTGCTGTGGTGGTGGTGGTGGTGGTGGGCTAAGAAGGGTGTTATCGGGTTGGGGACAGGGTTGAAACCGGAGGATCGCCAAGTCTATGGTGTGGTGCAGCAACGTTGAGAGTGTCGGTAGAGGTCGGTGAGCGAGTAAGCAGGGTGGAAGGGAAGAGAAATAGAGAGAGCGAGAGAGTGAGAGACAAGATGCGTGAGTGAGTGAGAGAGAGAGAGAGAGAGAGAGAGAGCGGTTTGCGAGTTGAAAAGCCGAGATGTAAGACACAAGCCTGTGTTCTGGGAGGATGGGATTGGCTTGACTAGCGCAAAGGATGGCGAAGCGTGAAGAGTGGCCCCCTCGTCTCTAAATCACTCTTGGCTCAGGCTTGGCCGTTGGGCGGTTTGTGGCGTGGGTGTGTCAATGGGTGTGGTGTGCGGTGTACACTAGTGGGCTCTCTCGGGTGGATGAGACTTGTTCTGTTCTCGCGCCTACACAAGGTATGCAGGAATCCCGGGCGGACAGGGTGGGCAAAGTCTGGGGGCGTGGGCGTGTGTCTGTGGGAAAGCCAACAAGCAGCGACAAAGTCCTCGTTTCTCTCTCCCTGGTTGGCGTCGTCTTGAATCTGATACTGCGATCTCCCCTGTTCTGTGGTTCAGTGGGCGTGTCTCGTTGACGGACGGGGTTCAGCCCATGGATGGGAAGTAGCACCTGTTTCGATGGACGAGACTCTGGACCAGGTATGACGAGGCGGTAACAGCAGAGGGCAGGACAGGACGAGAGAGCCCAGGCGACGGGCGGTAGGAGCAGGCGTCGAAATGGAATCCCTCGGCAACGCGACGGGATCAAGCGGGATGCCTCTCGCAGCTGAAGAGGAAGTACCTACGCAGCTGGAAGGTTAGCGGGGAGGGGAGCAGGGATGAAATAAATGTCCTGCTTTGTGGGTAGTGGTTGTGAAAGTAGGCAAAGAGATGGGGATGGGGGTGCAGGTGCAGGTGCAACCGCGGTATTGGCCAGGCAAGTGAAGACGAATGTTGCCAGCAATGGGAGCAACGAGTGTAGGTAGTTGACCGTACCTAGACTAGACCCAGACCCAGCGACCAAAAAGTTCCTAAATAGGCGAGGTGAGGTAAAGGAACAGAGCGTTGACAGGCGGGCTATGTTTAGGAAGACGGCCACCAGACGTGTGGGTAAACCCAAGCCGAAGAGGGGAGTGAGCAGCGCCGGTCGTCGGGCAGTGTGGGTTAGGAAAACGTAATGGTCGACGTCGGAATTAAGTGCATCCAGAACTTCTTCTTTTTCTTCTTCCACAGGGCACTCGCTCGCAGCCGATCATTGAGCTCAGGTTTGTTTTAGAAGGGGGGGGGGGGGGGGGGGTGGGTGTGGAAGAGAGAAGGCCCTCGGCTCGGAGGGAGAGGGGGGGGGGGGAAGGGAGGAGGGCCTAGAGCAAGCGGAAGGTAACCATTTGCATGGGAGAGTGGATGCAAAGGTGGGGAGGCCAAGACTGAGAGATGGAAGGGTGCAATGGAGGCCGAGTGAGTGAGTGAGGGACGGGGACGGAGAGAGAGGGAGTGAGAGAGAGAGAGAGAGAGAGATATGAGATGCAGTCAACTTGAAGCGAAAAGTCGGAGGGAGGGCTGAGAAATGGATGGGTGGCCAGTGGGTGTGTGGCCTGAAAAAGTCGAGTAAGGAGAGGGAAGGAGCTTGGAGATAGACTCGACTCGACATGGCCGGGTAAAACGGTGTACCTATGACGGCTGCACACCGTGGCGTGTTTTAATCCACAGACGGCCGGCCCGGCAAGGCAAGGCACGCGTCTCCTCTCTCCCCTCTTCCCTTATCTTATTCCCTCTCTGCTGTCTCTCTCTCTCTCTGCCTGTGCCTGCCTCTCCTCTCTCTGTCCTTCGCTCCTCCCCCCCTCTCCTCCTTCTCAAACCGGAGCGAGTCCCCTGGTGTCCACTTTTTAAGATGGAAGAAGCGTTTGCCGACGGTGGACAGGTACGTACAGTACAACGCGACTTGGAGTGGAATCTCCAGGGTAAGTACACGCGGCTACCAATTACCCCGAGAAGGTACTCTGCAAGGTACGTACACGCGTACAGATCATGTACGGATACACTGTCTTTGGTCACACTGATCGGGAAGGACTGATCTGCACATGTGCCTGCCCGCGTTCATTCTTCAATTCCTCGATGCTGGCGACGGACCGTCTGGAGCAGAGACACGGCGGGCTGGCGTGCGTTGCGCCTTTTGTATATATCAGCCTCAAGTCATGCATCGTTGTCACGATGAAAGCATTACCGAGTCTTCTCCACTAATTTGTGATATAACACCTAGTGCCTTGAATTGCCCTGACTAGACTTGCCCTGACTTGCTTGGCCTGGCACTCAATCTGGCCAGAGCCCGCGCCGTCTGAGCCGTAAGTACGCGCCGTCTGATCCGGCCCCGATGGCCTTTGACAACCAGCGGTGCACAGCGGGAACCCCCGCCCCCCTTTGCTGAACTGAGAATCCTCGTGAATGATTCGCAACGACGGGGAAAGGCAAGACCAGCTCGCGAGCGACCCGTGTGTCTCTCGGGCCAATGCCATCATGCCAAATGCATGCACACACGGGACGCTGTTGCAGGCTAGAATCATGGTCCAACACATGCACCACCACCATCACCACCTCCTCCACCACCACCACGACGAACAGCAAACGTATTGCACGCTTTTGTGAGAGCGAGAAAGTTACGGTCAACTGGACCTTGTCGTCTCGTGGCCGTTCCAAATGCCCCCCTCCCCCACCTTCTGCTTCTTGTATTTCTTGCTTCTCCTCCTGGTGATGCCCAATGCCTCAGTGTCGTGTCGGCCAGCCGCTGTGAATACGGTTCGGGCGTATCAAGCAACTGCCAAGTAAATGTCAAGCAATGCACAAACACACAACGGCGCCCTCCCCGAGGACGACGTGCGTTCCTTTTCTTCTTCGTCCAGGGATGGGCCCTAAACGCGTTGCCTCGTCCGTCGTCGTCGTCGTCGACAATCTCGTCAGAGACTTGCTTCGGCTTCTCTTGCTCCCTAGGAAACCCCTCGAACCACACATTCTCTTTCTCTCTCTCTCTCTCTCTCTCTCTCTCTCTCTCTCTCTCTCTCTCTCTCTCTCTCTCTCTCTCTCTCTCTCTCTCTCTCTCTCTCTCTCTCTCTCTCTCTCTCTCTCTCTCTCTCTCTCTCTCTCTCTCTCTCTCTCTTTCTCTTTCTCTCCGTCTTTCTGTTTCTCTTTCTCTTACCTCGGACGACCGGGCCCCATGACTACGGGGAATCGTCCCGTTGCAACCAAGACGAATGGCCTTGGCTTGGCCTTGGCTTGGCCTTCGAACACCCTCGTGCCTCCGTCCCTCTCTGCCGACTGGAAATGCTTGGGCTCTCTGCTCCACCCGATATGTTCATCGCCAGTCAGGGCCGCCGCGACGATGACATGGCGAAACTTGCCGGGCCCCCTCCCCACTTGCGGGACGAGTTGCAATTGCAGTCGTAAGCTGAGATCGCATCCGTGTGATGATGCCTCGTCTGGCGGGGAGGCTTGGGCTTAGCCACCGGTTCCGCGCGTCACGGTCGCGGACCGTCGTATTCTATCGCCCCATCTGTCGGACGGTCCGCAAAACAAAAAAAGGGAACGAAGCCCGCCCCACCGTCATCGTGCCAAATATGGCCGGTTATCGCCTGTTCCCTCTCCTCTCCTCTCTCTTCCTCTCTCTCACCTCTGTCCACCCCGGCCGGATGTTTGCTCCAGGCCGTCCGGGACGGTTTGATCGCCGCCCTCCAGCGCGACCATTTCCCTGCCCGGGTACGCCGATCCCAGAGCCAAAAAAAAGTCTCTGCCATTTCGAAATTCACGACCGGCTAATCTCACCTTGGTTCAGCCGCAAGGAAACTGCGGCTCAACTGCTGCGTGCGGTTGTGTGAGCGACAACCAGCCTCCCCTTCCATGTCGGCCGTCGGCCGATCTGTCATGGTGGGCGATCAGAGCCGTTGAGGCGTCTCAAACTCTCTCAGCTATAATGCTAGGATGCGATAGCATAGGTAAACCCTTTTTTTTGTGGCCAATTCTAGCTGTGCCAGTTTGCCCCGTCTGGTGCGCATATGGGCAACGGGTGTCGCGCGTATACTGAACCTCATCAAGGCTTGTTGAAGGTTAGCACAGTACCTGCGGAGCTTTACCGTCCAATATGGAAACACAAGTACTGCGCTAACCTTCAGCATGCTGGAGCAGGTTTACCTACTGTGTACGTACGACTTGGGCAACAAGGTTTTTTGCTCCCCTGGAGAGGGGCGAGGTTGGGAGGGAAGTTTTTGCCCTTGTTTCGTTTGGTCTTTGCGCTGGTCGAGAGAGACCGCGCTCGCTGTAACCTTTCCCAAAATGAACACAAGTCGTTGCGTCTGCCCGCGTCTCGTTGCCCTTTCTTTCGGGCCAACTATGGGGGTAGAGGGGAGGGGCCCGCGGCTTGACCCCGTCTCGAGATTCGTCTGGTCTCGCAATTGACCCTTGGTTTAAACTGTCAGAGTCCCACCCAGTCGTCGTGAAGTGCCATGACCCCCTCCCGCACTCGGCTGTTCTAGCTGCCGAGACTTGGCTCAACCAACTTGGCGTGCCGACAGCAGGCTGTAGCGAGCGGTCTTTTTGCGAGCTGGTAGTTCTGCCAAGATCGACGATGATGCTAATGTTGCCAAGTGCCGTCCAGTGGTGCGAAACCTGCACCAGACGAACCCAGGACTGAAACAGAGAGTCGCGAGAGCCACACGTATGGGTGGATATCTGCTTTTCGGTCCCCTGCCTTCCCTGTCGGCTGTGACTGCTTCGCCGCACCCACCGAGCTTGTGGGCGCGATACGTGAGGAACGCAGCACGTCGTATGCTTTTTTCTCTCTCTCCCTTGTTGTCCAAGCACCCTCAAAGTGTATCCAGAAGCGAGCCTAGTCCCATAAATGTCGTACCAGAACCGAGCCGGGAAAGCGAAGGCGGGCGATCATCCAAGGACAGAAAGCTGTGTCGCGTCATGTTTCTCAGCGAACTGGAGACACAAGGTTGTGTTTTCTATGTGGCAGCGAATGGTGGAGGAACAGCAATACCGCCGTGTTACTGATTGACTGCTTGTACTCCGTGGCGAAAAAGGAAGTCACAGCTAGATCGTCATCTTGTTTCGACACATACCCCCCACCGATATGCCCCCACTGTAAATGGGCTTCTCTGGCAATTCTTACCCTGCGTGCCTGCTCTGCCCTGCCTGCCTACCTGCCTTGTCCCCTGGGTCGATGGCGTTTCCTCGAGGAAGCGGAAAAGCAACTTGTGACGTCCCGGATGTGGGGGGATTGTCGGCCTTGGGGTGACTACCTACTCAGCCCGGACGACGAGTCGAAATGCAAATCGCGCCAAATACCCCGGTTTTTTCTAACTTGCGGTCCTGCCACCTCTCAAATCAGTCATCTACAACCGACGCCGGGGCCGATTGAGCAGCTTGGCGGAGCTGGTGGTACAGCTCGAGTCTCCTGTGCCACGGGCTCCCCCACACATTGGACCTGCGCCTCTTGGCAGAGCAGCCGGCGATGCCGTGCAAAAAAGCAACAACAGCCGCCCATCAGTGCTATCACTTGCGGTTGTAAGTCGATGGGGGGGGCGGGGGGTTTAATCCTCTTCCCCTCGAAGTCTTCTGTGCCAAGTCACACCCGTCGTAGTCGTCGTCCGGCGGGGGAGATTGAATGTCACCCCGCGCTGCAGCCGAGGGTTCAATTTGTCGTGGCGGCTTTTCGTCTGAAAGTGCCGGTAGGGCGAGCATGGTTGGACGAGGGCGGAAACCACTGCCGGGCTTTTCTGCGACATCTCAGCCGAGATGCCAAGAAAGCGTCTCCAGGCGTGAAACAGGAGGCTTGACAAATCGGCATCAAGGCTTTTCTGGGGGAGAAGGAAGGAGTCAGAAGAAGAGCCGTGAGAGATTCGGCCGCTTTCTTCCTCTGCCTTTTTTGTTTTGCCCTTGGGAAATCCAAGAAGGAAGAGCGGATGACAAGTTCAGACTTTGGGGAGGGAGTGTGGCCGATTTGGTCGGGTATGGGCGAGATCGCGGCCCGAGGAGAAACACTGACGGCAATCTCGTATAGTCGTGTCGCACGTACAGGTCGTCGGTACCATGTGTACGACGAGACTGGCCTGGCATTGGCTCCATGTCTTCAACGCAGCGTATCACTAAATGAGGTAGATGACTGGGAACCTGTTGAGGAAAAAAAAAAGAGAGAGAGAAACAGATATCATGTTAACAGAGGGCCGCCTGCAGACCAAAGCACGGAAGGGGAAGCAGGGGAAGGGGGAAGGGGAGTTGGGAAAAAGAAAGTGAGCATGGGAGCCCAGGAAGGAAAAGGCTGTGACAGCGGGAAGTATGGCGAGGTTATTCAGTGGATAACGCTGTGAATTCCCCGACGCGGCCCACGCCAACCTCACCACTCGCTAAGGCTCGTTGAGTCGCTGGTCAGTCGGCTGTCTCCTGGCACCCCCCGGTCTCATGCTGACTCATCTCATTCGCGGATCCGCTTACGTCAGATTCTTTCATGTGCAGGACCCCCACACAAGCTCTCGCCGAAGCTGCCGCCTTCACCGAGCTCACCGAAGACCCTGAGTCCATCTCCACACAAAGCTCTCTCCCTCCGTCCCCAAAAATCCGCCGCAGAAACCATCACAGTTCGCCGACTTCATAAGCCATTGCGCCTCCACAATGGCCACGATCCCCTTCCTGCCTCCCTAAGACACGCAATCCCCAGTTTCTCGTCACATCCACCCGATTTGAGCCCGCTCAAAATGCTCGCCCGCACCCTCCGCGCCGCGGGCGCAACACCAGCACGTGCTCACCACCATCAGCTGCGAACGGCATGCTCCTCCTCCTCCTCTGCCGCCGCCGAGACCCTCCCCTCCAGCCCCATACGCGTGTTCCGCTCCGTCTCGGATCTCCGGAAGTGGCGTCGCCCACACGTCGTCGACTACCGCTCCGTCGGCCTTGTCCCGACCATGGGCGCCCTGCACGAGGGCCACCTCTCGCTCATCCGCGCCGCCGCCCGCGAGAACCACCACGTCGTCGTCTCCATCTACGTCAACCCGGCGCAGTTCGGCGTCTCCGAGGACCTCGCATCGTACCCCGTCACCTGGGCCCGCGACGCCGCCGCCCTGCGCGACCTCGACCGCGAGCTGGCCGACGACGGCGGCGCCCTGGGCCGCGTCAGCGCCGTCTTCGCCCCGACCACCGCCGAGATGTACCCCGCCGGCTTCCCCGGTCAGGCCATCGACAGCAAGGGCAGCTTCGTCACCATCACCCCCGTCGGCGAGGTCCTGGAGGGCGCCAGCCGGCCGACCTTCTTCCGCGGCGTCGCCACCGTGTGCATGAAGCTGTTCAACATCGTCCAGCCCGAGCGCGTCTACTTTGGCCAGAAGGACGTCCAGCAGACCGTCGTCATCCGCCGCATGGTCGAGGACTTTATGCTCCCCGTCGAGGTCGTCGTCGGGGAGACGATGCGCGAGCACGACGGCCTCGCCCTCAGCTCCCGCAACGTATACCTCGGCGAGCGACGGCGCAAGGTCGCGACCGTGCTGCACCGCGCGCTCAAGGCCGCGGAGGGCACGTACCAGCAGGGCGCGCTGGACCGCGACGCGATCCTCGGCGCCGCGAACCGGGTCGCCGCCGACGTGCTGTCGGAGCAGTCGAGGCTGGCGCCCAAGGACAGGGTCATGTTCGAGGTGGACTACATCTCGCTGGCGGACCCGGATTCCATGCAGGAGATCAACACCGTCGTCCCCACCAAGGGCGGGATACTCAGCGGTGCGGTCAAGATGTTACCGGTGGAGGAGCCGCAGCCAGACGAGGACCTTGGCCACAACAATGGGCCGGCGGTGCGGCTCATCGACAACATCATTCTCAAGCCTAATGCCCAGTAAGAGTCAGAGGGTTGGCACAGCCGGCTTCACGGATTGATACGAGGACCTGGGCGTAACCATTACTTGTGCATCGCATGATGCTGTATAAGCCTCTTGGACATCGCTCGAGAATGTCATGCTTTGCAACCCAAAAACAGGAAAAGAAAAAGGAAAAAGAATAAGATATGCATCATCATAATAATCATAGCCGCTCTATGCGTTGACAGTAATACATCATTTACAAATGCGCGCGGTTCTCCAACGACCGGCGTCTTCTCTGTTCCTTGACGCTCTTTTTGAGTTGGCGCGCATCCTCAACACTTAGCGTCGGCGAGACGCCCTTGCCATCCACGTTCCTTGCGGCGTCGAATAACTTGCTTCCCAGGAGGTCTGTCAGACGCAGCACACGAGTGCTTACAGTGGCGCCGTCGCGACGGTTTTTGCCTTCTCGTCTGCTCGAGGCAATCTTCTCGGTGAAGTCCCACAGCCGACCAGACGCGTTCAGGCTGCCCGTTTCCGGATCGCGGGAAGGACGCCACTCCGGGTCGAGGCGCAGCCGGGGAGGAACCTTGGGGTCCTTGGACTTGACGACCTGGAGAATGCCCTCTTCCTCGAACCGTTGATATGCGTTCTTCAGAGTCTCCTTGTTTACTGCCTCGAAATAGCTGAGATCGCCTTGGTGGTAGAGTGTCTTGCCGAGCTGGGAGGATGTTAGTGGAGCTTCCCCTGAGAACCATCACGCATGCATGCTTACCAGCTGTGCGCTGCCCTGGGCCTTTGCCGCCTCGATCCAGATGTCGTTATTCTGGCCCAGAGGTGGCGTCAAGCCCATCAACGAGACAGCCGCGAGCCAACTAGCCTCAATGAACGGCCAAATGAGGAAGCAGTAAAAGTCGTAGTTCTCTCTGCCAACCGTCCTCTCGTGATCCGAGAGACCAACCACGGTCACCCTGCCCTGGTCGTCCCGGTTCAATTTCAATACCTTGTCTGCCTCCAAGTCTCGTAGCGTCTTTTCCAGGTTAGCAGCGAGACCTTCGCTGGGGAAAATGAATTCCCCGCGGAACAACGACGACAAGAACCGAATCTGGTTCTGCAGCTCGTCAAAGGATATGTCTTGCATGGCCGGGCCGCCTCCCTGTTTGACCTTCATGTACATGGCAGCGCTCACTATGGCCTCGGAAATGAATAGGTGAATAGTCATGTTGCGGTAAAACGAAAGCTGGAAACGATCGACGGCGTAGTAGGTAGGCTCCGGTAGGTCTTTTACAACGCCAACCAGGTCCTTACCCAGGACTTCGAGACCACGCTCAATGATGTCCGAGAGTGGCGCGTTACCAAAGTGAGCAACTCTACCGCCCTTTGCGCGCACGCGATCGGTGAGCCACATTACGCGGCGCTCAAGCTCAGCCTTGCCAACGCCTCTCCCTCTCAAGGTGAGCAGAACGGTACCGATCAGGGCTGTCGGCATGACAACGGAGACATCGTTAATGTCAGATAGGACCTTGTAACCAAGGATTCGGAGGAGCCTCTGGCGGATGGCCGCGTTCTCGGGGTCCTTTACGTCCAGGTTAAGGCTTGTCGGTAGCCTAGACACCCTTGTGAGCTGCTCGTTGATGAAGCCGCGCAAGCTCCAAGGCTCGTGGAACCTGACGTCGACTCTACCAAGCCTCAGTGACAAGACCGACGACCCACCAGAGAGGAAATCCGCCAAATTCTCCTTCTTCTTGGGCACACCCAACAGTTCTGTCACGTATCCTTCCGTCTCGATGACTTTGTCGTATTGTGTGCTGACAGGGCAAATGATGGCGTCCTCTACTCGGCCCGACAGGATGCTATCCAGGACAAAGCTAAGAATGCCGAACTTGGGCGGCAGCAGCTTTCCCGTTCTCGACCGACCGCCCTCGATGAAGCACTCGAAGTTGTATCCGCCCTGAAGGAGGGTGTCGATGTAGGTCTGTACCAAGGTTGTGTATAGGATATCATCACCGAAGGATCTCCGAATCCACATGGCGCCGGCATGCTGCAAGAAGCTTCCAACGAGAGGGAAGTTGAGGTTGTCTCCCGCCACGACAACAGGCAGACCCAGCCCAAGGCGGTAGCAGATGAGCTGAAGCGAGACGTAGTCGACGTGTGACCGATGGCAGGGCAGGAAGATGATGCTCTGCTTCTTCTTCTCTGCCTCCTCGGCGACCTTGCGCAGCCTCAAAACCTCTTCGCTGGATACGTGGATGCCTTGGTTATAGGCCCGCAACAGCAGCTGCGTGGTGAGGTAGTATGCGCTCCGGATAAACGTCTTGCTCTCGAACTTGCAAATCATATCGTCCGTCATCTTTTCCGCCACCTCTTGGATTCCAGAATCAATAACTGCCCGTCTGCGTGCACGCTTAAGGTCAAAGTCCTTGTCTTGTTTGTTCAACAAGCCTTCCTTCTCTTCAACAGCGACGCGCTTCTCTGCCAGGTCAGCGATGCGTTCCTGCAGCAGTTTTGCCGACAGGACAGCCTCCTTCATCTTGTCGGAGAAGCCGGGGTAGAAGATGGGTTGACCGATGGCATTGTCGTAAGCGCGCCAGCCGGTACCGGAGACGTAGAGCGAGACTTCTCGGAGGAACCTGGCGCGGGGGTGGAATAAGTTAGTCTCGTTCCTGGATCGACATGGAGGCTGAGACCGGAGGAAGAGCCGGCGTGCAGGCGATACATACTGTAGCGGCTCGGAACGGAAGCGGGCCATGTGCTTCATTAGAGCCTCCTCCTTCTCATCATGGCGTGGCTGGGATGGCTTGACATAGCCTCTAGGCTGAAGGGTGATTTGATCGCCGAGGATCTTCAGATCCGGCGCGGAGTCGTCGTTCTTTGCCATTGTCGATTGGCGAAGAATCGGGGCAAACAATGGCGCGTCAAAGTTAGGTAGCCAGAGGTATTGCTGGAGTAAACGGAACAGGTCAGGTCGCGCGTTGGGATCTGTCGTTTGTCGTAGTTTCGGGTGGGAATACTATGGGTGTTGGTGTCTGTCCTGCTGTTGGTAGATAGATAGTCGGAAGCAGTCCGTCAAAGGTCCTTTGCCATTGCCGACAATGGGCCAGCGCAAGAGAGAGCAAGGGCAGGCAAACTCAGGCTTAGTTTCTCGGGGGTCCAAGGTTGCAGATGACGTTGGAGAAGTGACGGACTCTGTGGGGGGAGGGGGAGGGAGAGAGAGATAGAGAGAAGAGAGTAGGTTTGTAGAGGATGCGCCGGACTGTTTTCCTCGGCCGCCAAAAGAAGCCGAGTCGCATTGCCATTGCCCGCCCGCCTGGGGTGGACCGTGAAGGTCAAGTGCCACCCTTCAGAGGAGGTCCAGGCTCTCTCTCTCTCTTCCCCGTGTACCCGTCAAGCCGCGGCTTCGGCATGTGAATAAACGCCATGCATCCCTGCAGCCACCAGCACTTGCTGCTAGGGTACTTGCCTCGTACAGATACTGAATTTACCCCTACAGGCAGTTGGCACCACCATCGTATCAACGCTTTAGCGAGAAGCAAAGAGTACGTACCTTTGACGCCCCACCACCAGCAACCTGGAACCTGGAGGCACTAACATTTGATTTTCCAAATGTCCATCCATCTCCAACATTTGACTCTGTGACTTGCCGCTGTCTTGCGCCGCACCGAAACTCACGGCGGCGACTTCTTCCACGCGCAACTACACCCCGTCTCAGAGAGAAATCTGTCGACATGGCGCCCTCGAACCAGCCCGTAACGCAGGCGCTCCTCGCGCGAGCGCATTCTCCCGACGCTGTCAACCGCATATTCTCCGACAAAATCCAGTACCGACCGCTCTACCTCCGACCAAGCTCGCCACCGCCGCCGTCCAACGCCCGGAATGCCCGACGCAAGGCTCGTGAGGAAGCCAAGAAGAAGCAAAAGCTCAAGCCGAAGCCCCTGTCCGCGCGCGAGCGACACAGGCGCGGCCTCTACCAAGTGCCCCGCCAAGGCCAGAAATACGCCGTCTTCGAGCCCCTACACCGCCTGTGGCTGGGATACATTGAGGAGATCCTGGGCTCTGAGTTGTACCATGGCGGCGCCGCTGCTGCCGCCAAGTTGAGTGCTGCCGAGTTCCACGGCGCCGCCGTCGAGGTCTCCAGGAGCTCCTGCCCGAGCAGAGTCGGCATCAAGGGCATCGTGATCAAGGATGGCAAGTTTGCGTTCGAGATCATCACGCCCAAGAACGAGATCAAGATTGTGCCAAAGGAGGGCACATGGTTCAGGTTCGAGATTCCAGTCAAGGAGCCAGCCGTGGAGGCGTCGACGACCCCAGAAGCCTCCCCTCGACGCTTCGTCTTCGAGGTCCTCGGCGACCAGTTCCTTACGCGCGGCGCGGACCGAGCCAACAAGAAGTACAAGAACCACTATCTGAAGAACCTCTGAAGGATGAATGATCCCGGGGTGGGACTTATTCAAACTAGCCAAAGGCTGCATCGCTTACTCCGCGTCTGGCCCGGAAGTTGCCAGCTGGTATGGGAGGCAATCGGTTTGGGTTTTGTGCAAACCGTCGCCTACAGGCAAGGAAAGATGCGCAAGAGACTAATCACTCGGTGCTTGTGAGAGTCTTGTCCTGACGCGGATGACGCTTCTAAAATGTTACCTCGGACCAACGATTGGCCGCTCTTCTGGAGGAAGGCCTTGGTGGACAATGACTTGACTCGTCTCTCCGCAGTGGGGTGGTTGCCTTGGAACGCACACCGCACACAGCACACAGCACACGGCAGCCGCCCGTTTGTGCACGACGCATTAAAGGCCTTTGCACTAGGGCCCCTCAACTGAGCCGAGGTCAAGGGAGGGTTGAGCTGGAGATGTCAGACGCTTGTCACTTGGAGAGGCAAGAGAGCATGAGCATCGTTGCTGTAGCAGGATAACGACCTTGGCTGCATGCTCATGTTCTTGCAGAAATTGACAATAATTGAGACGTTCGGGACGGGAGAGGCAAGCACTGGACCAGAACTCTACCCAAGTCGAGCCTGCGTAATTGAACAATACCATATTCCACTCGTGCTTGTAGCTCGGCAGAACATGCAGGAGAGATACAGTCTATAGGCCCGCTGCTTGCCAAGTCCAAAGAGTAAATTATTCATCTGTCTACAAGTGAAGAAAACAAAATAAGACAAGAAAGAGAGAGACAGTAAGTAATGCAAGGTAATTGACAGATGGATGGATGCAACCAGCCTAGGCTTCGAGGAAACTTGACTGAGAGCTGGAGCAAGCATAAATCAACAAAAATGAAACACTCGTGAGGTGGACTTTAACCACCGAAACTCCCCGAGGTGGGCTCGAACCACCAACCTCCAGATTAACAGTCTGACGCGCTAGCCAATTGTGCCATCGGGGATGAGATGCTTGATTGTTGACATTGCGACAAAGATTTGCCACTATCTTGCTAGAATAGGCGGGGCTGACAGGGATATGTATATGGCACTACTCCACATCGCCCGACAACCCACGTTGACTCTTTTCCCTCCTACTTCGATGTAAACATGGCGTGCGGTGGTGGCGTTTGATTCTCTTTGGAGTGTAAAACAACGTACGCACGTTAGGGAGCGACAACCGAAATCGTGGTTTGGCTGAATCTTTCTCCCGAGGTCGTTCAGTCATCTCATTAGATCGGCGGCGCATCAAGGCGAGAGGATTCGAGGACCGTGACGACCATAATGCACATATCGGCCCTAGGGCAGCCGGATCATCTGAGCCTGCCAAGGCGGACCATAGCTCACAGATAGATAGACAGAATGAGACAGACATTCGAGAAATGCAATCGTATCACGTCACGGAAAGCGCGCCCGGTTACATAATGGCGGCTAGCTGCCTTAGCCAAAAAGCAACGCGACGCGTGCCATTACTGCCGATGACATCAGGACTCAATCAGTCTGGACCTCACGCGTGCCTGTTGATATATTTACCTGGCGACCATCACTCTCTGGTAAATCTGCATCAATCTTTCCAAGCTCTGACCGGCTTCTTTACCTCCCGCACAACCTCAATTGACCCCCACTTAACTCATTTGACTGTGGCTGTCATTCATATCACCAGTCCACCCAAAAGCTACCCCATCCCACCCCGCAAAGCCACAATCATGGTTACCACGAGAACCAGGGAGCGCGCCGGCAGCTCTGGTGAAATAAACGGGAAGACGAATGCCCCTGCCGCCGCCGGCGAAAAACACAGCATCGACAAGGATGCTGGTGCTGGATCTCCTGATGCAAAGCGCGCGAAGAAGTTAGACGACAACACTACCCGGCAAACGACCTTGGAGGAGACGTTCGAGAAACATGATGACGCACAGCCCAAAGAAACGGAAGGGGCATCAAAGGACACAGAGCATGAAACTGATACAGAGATGAAGGATGCCGAAGACGACACCACAAAACCCTCTGAGCAGACCGAGGAACCGACGAAACAAGAAGAAGAGGCAATGGCCGAGAAGCTGGACGAGGTTGAGAAAAAAGAAGAAGCAGAGAAAGAAAACAAGACCGAAGATCAAGAAGATCTCGGAGAGAAGCACAAGCCTGCGGAAAAGACCACATCGAAGTCCGCCGCTGGTGAGACTGCCGAGCGTCCCAATGAAAAGACGAAAATGCCTTCCAATGTACTCGAAAAGGGCATCATTTACTTTTTTTTCCGTGGCCGTGTCAACACCGAAAATACCGAGGAAGTTGATGATATTGCCCGCAGTTATATCATCCTTCGACCCGTCGGCATCGATTCTAAGCTGGGTGACGGCCCCATCGGTGATGCCGGAAACACTCGCCTGCTGGCTCTGCCCAAGAAGGTTCTCCCTGAGAGCGGCAGAGACCGTTTCATGGTGTTTGTGGAGAAGTCGGGGACTTCATTCAAAGAGTTAAAGGAACAGTTCCTGTCGGGCGCGGACAACCAGACCAAGGCCGGCAAGTCTCATGCGCCTGCTGCGACACCTGCTGGAGAGGGCGTCTATATAATCACGACGACCGGGCGCGAGACCCATCTTGCGTATATGCTGACTTTGCCCTCCGACTTGGGTGAGGTACAGAAAGAGCTAGGGATTAAAGAGAAGGGAAGCTTTATTCTGAGCACAAAGAACCCTTATAAGCCAGGCCCTGCGTATGCCAGCCTGCCAGATACGCCCGACTTTCCTGATGAGTAAGTGAATTTTCCGCCAGATATCCCCAACCTATGCTAAACATACTTCGACAGGATTAAGGACCAATTCCGTGACCTCCGCTGGATGCCGAGCAAGCCCGAACACCTTGACTATGTCAATTCTCAGGTCCTCATGATTGGCGAATCTTCGGGCATCGACAAGGCCGTCGAACCCAAGCAGAAGGACGTCAAGGCTGGCAAGGACAAACCGGAGGATGTTCTCAAGGAGATCGAGGACGAGGATACCAAGAGAATGGAGCACCTCTCTGGAGACGACTCAGCTTCCATCTTTGCTGATCTCCAAGCCCGCGCGAAGGATTACCCGCAACTTCAGACTACATTTTAACACCTTTTGATGCTCTTCCATTCGGTTCGCATCTGGAGCAGTTCGACAATAATTGGCAGTCAATATGCTTGGTCTTTGAGACGCTCACGGTCTTGAGTTAGGAACGTCTCTTTCCGGCAAGGCGTGCGGTAGCTTGAAGAAGGATTCACGGGGGCAAGCTAATCATTGGAAGAAATGGGAAAGGTCAAAATATTTGACATGCTGACAAAATTTGTACACTAGCTTCCCGGAAAGCTGCATTTCAACAAGGTCGCGGTCTGCATCTAACACACAAAGGCCCTCGCGGTTACACGCTGACCTGCTCGGCTTCATGGCCAATCCAACTGCATCATTTCCTGCTTTCCGTGATGATCTCCTCCACAACATCCAGCTTGGTCAACTTCTTGATGTACCCCTCGATCATGTTGCAAGGCATCGCGCAAGCCAGCCGGGACACGGTTGCGCTCTCGCCCTTCCAGATGACGGCGGGCGGGCTCCGGCCCAGCAGCAACGGCGCCACCTCGGCGGCCCACTGGTCCGCCGAAATGCCCACTGAGGCAAGGGCCTCCTGACTCATGGCCTCCTCAACGACGTCCCGGGCCAAGGTGTAGATAGAGCCTTCTGGCAGCCTCTCAGCTTTGGTGTTGACGTTATTGTTAGCGATGATGTTGGACTTGACCCCGGCCGTTTTGAGGTCGACGACGGCGATGCCGAAGGGAGCGAGCTCCATGCGCATCGTCTGGGAGAGCATGGCGAGGGCTGCCTTGGATGCGTTGTAGACGCCCTGGAAGGGGAGTGCGGAGACAGACCCGACGGAGGTGTGGTTGACAATTAGAGGCCGGGACGGGCCGTCGCCGTCGCCGCCGAAGCTGCACCAAGCCTCCGACGGAGGCGTCCTCATCGACCCGGCGGACCGGAGGAGCAGGGGCAGAAAGGCTTGTGTGACGGCGACGTGCGCCCAGACGTTCTGGTCGAAGAGGGCTCTCGCCGCGTCAAGAGAGACGTCGGCGACGGGCATTATGTAGCTGCCGGCCGCGTTGTTGACGAGTATGTCCAGGCCCTCAGCGCTGGCCATGGATTCGGAGACGGCTGCGACGGCGGAGGCGATAGAGGACGCCGAGGTGATGTCCAGGGGAATCGTCTGCATGCCCCGCGGGGCGAGCGCGTTGAGCTTGGACGGGTTCCGCGCCGTGGCATAGACGCGGTGGCCCGCGTCGTGGAAGGCCGTGGCCAGGGAGGCACCCATCCCGCCGGGAGAGCACCCGGTGATTAGGATGTTGAGCTTCCTCGGGGACGACATGGTGTGGATGTGTTTGTAGTTCTGGGGGTGAGCTGTGTTGACTAGGGGAATGGTGCTCGATGATTGCGATGGGCGGTGGGAATATTGTGTTCTTTTCGAGGCTGCTATCCAGATTAGAGCTACGGAACAGATCTAATTCGAGCCCATCTCCGTTGCTTCCTCGCGTGACTTATACGGCTCAACACATCCACCCCGTGGGCGAGGAGGCCCGCCGGGGTCGGTTAAAAAAACCACGCCCCGGGATACAAAGCGTGGACCCCGCTCATTCTCGTCGCGGAGATAATCCAAGGGACTTCGTAGCCCATCTTCGCTTTCCGCAACGAGTCCTGCGTGCCCGAAAGCGTAGCCGCAGATTGGGCCCGGTTGGCGGTGCGGGACCCCCATCTTGGGGCGGCGGACTTTGCGGACTTGTTGTGCGGGAGGATTGTTTCTGACCCGCCGAACCCATTCGGCGGCCGTCGGAGGGGAATCCTTCGACCAAAAACGGGTTGGACCAAAAACGGGACGGGCTGGTTCTGCACTCTCGAACGCGACCTACACCACTGGCAGAGTTGGTCAGCTTAGGGTCGTTGTAGCAAGCAGGAGCACCGCAGCCGCGTCACCGGATACTGAAGACTTCATCAACCACTTATTGTATGAGTTTCCAGCTGTTAGGGCAGCCTTCCTTGTGAGCACCAACGCCAAGGCATCTCCGGGGCGTACAGGTGTAGGCGACGTCGTCTTCGGAGCGAAACCAGATTTGCAGAGTGGCACTATCTATTTCGATGCTAGACAAACGAAAAAGCACGAGCGACTCTCCATCAGCGGCCAAGCAAAGCGGGTTCCAGAATCCGCAACGTCAGCTCTTGAGGATATCCTTGGCCAGAAACAACACGGCAATCGGCTTCGATATCTCGGCGCAGGCTATCCTCTCCATCACCGAACCTTTCGCGGCGCAATGGCGTCTTCAATAGAACAATTCGACGACCCTCTTGTTCTTGATCGCATTGGCCCTAAGCATGATATTCTATGCTTCAAGACGGCTGCAGCCAGCATGAGCTCACATTCGTTCATACTCGCTGCGGGCATCGCCAGTTGCTCAGATAACCAGCAGGACTGCTTGGGATCCGCGCAAGTTTGTGAGGCTGTCGTGTGTTATCTTTCCGGCCTTGTCCGTCTCATCAACCCCGTCAAACTTCGCAAGGAACCGCCTTTGGCCAATCACTTCCAGTACGAGTCGTTTGATCTGGATCGCCCAGGATTTCGACCAGTCAGGTTAGAAGCGGGATCGAGCCACGATCCAATCCGTTGCCACCTTTCCCAAGCTTATCTAGACGATAAGGAAACCATCATTCCGTACGAAGCGTTGTCATACTGCTGGGGCTCTAGCACTTCACCACGGCACACAATTCTGGTGGATGGAAGATTTCTCTTCATTACAGAGAATTTATTCGACGCCCTGAAAAACCTGAGACAAGAAGCCGAAGAGCGCATACTTTGGGTTGACGCTCTTTGTATCGACCAAAGCAATGTCCGAGAGCGCGGACACCAGGTTACATGGATGGGGAAGGTGTACGAGCACGCTGAACGAGTTTAGTTCTGGCTGGGGCATGTGCCATACAACTTCAGAGATCTGATTCTGTCACTCAAGACATTCAAAAGAGAAGCCCCACGCGACGCGTGGGTGAGTTGGACCCTTGATGACCCTAGATGGTCACATACGTGGAGCCGACTACGAACAGAACACCTTTGGAGTTTTGACAAAGTTGGCATGCTAAAGTCAATGATGAGCAACGAGTGGTTCAGCCGCGTTTGGATTCTGCAGGAGGTCGCCAATGCTCAAAAAGCTTCACTTGGCTGCAGCGAGGGCTGGGTTGACGCGATGGCGTTTGCAATGGCACCAAGACTCTTCGGCCTCCAAGCAGACATCCAATGCCAAGTAGTCATCGATATAATGCCGGGTCCATCGAGGAGGCTTCTTGGTGGGCACATAAGTCGAATATCTGTACCCTGTTGTGGAGGTTCAGAGAAAGCCAAGCTAGCGATCCTCGGGATAGGTCATTTGCGCTTCTTGGTCTCGCTTCCGACATGAAAACAGGCGATAAGAGGATTGTCGCAGACTACACTCAAACCGAGGACGCTGTTTTGAGGAACATTACAACTTATTTGTTCAACAACAAAACCCGCGATCTCAAGGTCGAAAGCCTTCAGGGTTTGCAAATGAATATTCCAAATCTTGCTGCGGTTGCTCTAGAAAGAATGGTCTTTTCTGGATCCAACTTCGAGGACTTGCATTGTTATATGCAAAGACAAAACCATACTGTTGGTATCACCAGGTGGTTGATACGGTTAACCGTACGTATCGGTGGAAGTGACGAATAATAGGGGTTAACTGTTGATTCCTATTATGCGCAAAGAGGGGAAGAGTAACTATCGTGGCCAGCCAGATAGGCAGCCGTTAAATACCGCAACCTATAGTGGGTGGGCCCAGCCACATGGTTGATCCGGCCAGCCCGGCCAGATTGTTAATCCGGCCAGCCTGGCCAGCCCGGCCAGCCCGGCCAGGCTGGCCAGTTGCTGCAATTAATATCTATAATAGATATATCGCGACACTAGTAACTTTTTCTCTATACGTAGAAATTCCCCTTATTTTTCCTTGTTTTTCTTATCACCTATCCTCTATCTATATCTATTTGTATCTATCTATATCTATCTATATTTATCTGTTAAGTAGGCACGTTACCTACGTGTAGGCGTTACTTGTTAGTAACCCCTTGTTGATGTAATGATGGGCCTGGCGATAGGCCTGGCTGGCGATGGGCTTGAAGGGCCGCGATGGGCGATAGGCCCGGCTGGTGATAGGCTCGAAGGGCCGTAATGGGCGATAGGCCTGGCTAGCGATGGGCTTGAAGGGCCGCGATGGGCGATAGGCCCGGCCGGCGATGGGCTCAAAGGGCCGGCAATGGGCCTGTTAATGGGCCCGGCCGGCGATGGGTGATAGGCCCGGCCGGCGATGGGCTTAAAGGGCCGCGATGGGCCCGGCCGGCGATGGGCTTGAAGGGCCCGGCCGGCGATAGGCCTGTTGGCGCGCGAAGTGAGGTGTTTTTTGCAGTTGAGTTGGTTGCCTCTTAAAAAGCGACAAGGCTTATGTGTATAGACGTAAATTACTAGGCCTTTACTAACTATAGGAGGTTAAGTAATATTATCTTAGTAATTAACTTATTATAGGAATCTACGCTGCTCTTACTATATTAAGTAATATAACTACTAGGTAATATAAACCCTATAATAGGCAGGTAGCACACTCTTACTATAAGGGTATTTATAGATAGGATTCTTAGTAACTAATTAGGGCTACTATAAATAGTTAACAGTAAGATTACCTCTTCTAGTAGCCTTACTAATTTATAGTTACCTTTATAGTAAAGTTAACTACTAATTAGTGTTAGTATTACTAGGTAGTTAATATAGTTAACTATATATATTAGTAGAAGTAACAAATAATAGGGGTTAACTGTTAATTCCTATTATACGTAAAGAGGGGAAGAGTAACTATTGTGGCCAGCCAGATAGGCAGCCGTTAAATACCACAACCTATAGTGGGTGGGCCCAGCCACATAGTTGATCCGGCCAGCCCGGCCAGATCGTTAATCCGGCCAGCCCGGCCAGCCCGGCCAGCCCGGCCAGGCTGGCCAGTTGCCGCGATTAATATCCGTAATGGATATATCGCGACACATACCGTTTGGCTCTCGGAGACTTTGGTCAACTACGCTCGGTTTATACGGTCAGGCCACTTTAAAAACTTTCGAAGCAGCCCTGCATTTAATCAAGTCATTCTGGGGCAAATCCCTTCCACCGGTCCACCCAAAGATTCCACAAGTTTAAATCGATTCTTGAAGAGACACAACGGGCGAATCAACCCTACAAAAGAAACGATTGAAGCGTTGAATCAAAGAGATATCGACATTATTGTACAAGTTCTACGAAAGAATCGACAGGACGTTGAAATTACGGAAACATTCGCTATTGAGGCAGCTCGGAAAGGTCCCTCCATACTGCAAGCCTTGCTTCACAGAAATGACGTCAAAGTCAGGAGTATGAAGGGTCTTATCATCGCCGCTCTCGAGAATGGACCCTGTACAGCTCAGGTCTTACTTCATCAACGGGGCGGTGAGATAGAAATTACTGAGGCCATTGTTGATGCAGCAGCTCAGAGTGGGCATACTACATTTCAACTTCTGCTGGAAACATTCATTTTCACCATGAGTATAACAGAAGCACTTGCGCAAAAAGCGGCCCAAATGGGGCCGGATACACTGCAGCTATTACTCAACAAACACGGCGGTGAAGTCAAGGTAACTGAAGCCATTCTCAAAGCAGCTGCCAAGACAGGACCCGCAACACTCCAGCTTTTATTTAGCCGATGCAGCAATGAGGTTAAGGTAACTCAAGGCCTTATCCAAGCAGCTATCTTTAGGGGGCCTGAAACTTTGAAAGTTCTTCTTGATTGGCCTGGCTTCAGTCCATAATGAATGCACAAGAGTGTTCATAAGCGGGCAGTGGACAAAGGCAGCCGTAATCTCAAGGTGGGCGTGGCCTGCGTATATCACCATTTATTTTAAGTCTGGAAACTCTAATATCACCTCTTCATGTATTTACAGTATCCCCCTTATCTTCCTCTTTTGCCTCAAAGGCTTCATAATGTTATTGAGTAAAGACTTCAAGACCGCAGACGACCGCAGCTATATGTCGGGAAGACAAACTTCAACGTCTTCTTTGTGAGTGGCAGACGGCAAGGAACCCTTTAGTTCAAGTCTAACAACACCGCCACGAGCCCACCTTGAGCCCGCATAAGTTCATTGCCATCATCTATAACTTCTATTGATGGCTGAGATGTGTATGTGCCCACAACTTATTCCTATATGACTCGGTTAATTGGCACAAAGAACCAGGGCAGCAAGTCTAAATTGACTTCTTGTTTCTATTATGTGAGACAAACGCACCACCATACCCGCCCTCGATGATGGCTTTCTCAATAGTCGAAGTGATAAGTGGGGTGGGTTATTCTGGAGTGATAGGGGCCTTGGAGTTGGGCGCATAGGCTGGAAGCTTGTCAGTGAATGCTGCGAAACCCTTGAGCTGGTCTTGGGTGGCTGTGGTAATTATCCATTAATACAATGGCCAAACCCTTCAACCTTGGTGGCAGAGACACCTACTATCCGCATAGCGGCCCACCTCTCCTGAACCCGGGCTGATACTAAAGAAGAGCAAGCCGTATTTCTCGTACTGCGCGGTGAGCTTGAAATGATGGCGTTCATGACCGCCTTTGAGGCAGTATATATCGGTCTAGTATCAACGTCCGAAGCATTGGCGAAGTCGAAGTCGGCGTGATCCCAGGCTATTGAGGCGGCCTTCTTGATTTTGCTCTTAATGACAATGGGGAGAAAGAGGTGGGTGAGGTTGATTTTGCCCATGAAATCTATCTACCATAGCTCTAATCCAACGGTTCCCAGCTCCACAGAGACGTCTTTCTTCTAGAATAAATAATCAGCTGTGATGAACTATAGCGTCTATTACAGAGAATGCAAAGTGGTTGTATTATCCAGAGCTGTCACAAAAACGACGCCGTTAATTACAAGCAGCATTAACACCTTATGTACATACTGCGTACGACAAGAGGCTAAGGAAACGAGATAAGGTTGAAATACCTTTACGAAGTAAGCCACATCTACCGTGCCCAGTACTTATACCAGCCACACGAAGCTGCCCTAGCTGCACGACATTAGCGTTGATCACAGACCAGTTCTGACGGCGGCCAGAGAGAGTAGTACCTAGGACACGTACAAGTCACCGATGGACCCGTACACGTCAAGCAAGGGCACCGTTGGAAATCAGGTCGTCAATCCCACGCTTACCAACGATTTCGGAAGTGTCGATAGCCGCCTGCTTTAGACTGGCGTACTTCGCTAGCCCTGTGTGCAGAATGTGGTTGCCCAGCTGTGCCCCTGGCTTACTTTCGGTCCCAGTCTTGTCGCGACCAGACCAACGACTAGGCTTTCCGAGTCATCCGACTATTGCGTGAGGAGCTCAAACTGAATTGGATCAAGTAGATGTAGTGCGTAGCTCGGTTTCTGGAAAGCAGACAACCAAATCCTCTTGGACACTCCCGTCTTAACTTACACGGACATGCTTATCTTGGTAAGTGAAGAACAACCCATTGGAATGGCTTGATAGACAATAGACTTGGAAATCAAGGTTATGCTAGGTGCAAGGTTCTGAACAGTGGTACTCGCTTCATATTATAACAGATAGTTCGTTTGTTTCTGATCATTAAGCTTGAGTGTTCTTACTAGTACCTCACCGTCGGCCAGCTAACAATCCGCCACACCAGTCAGATGACAAGCACCTACATGTGATGATGGATCGGAAAGAACAGACCGGGCGATTGGAGCGGGTAGAGGACCGAGTGGGCACGGTTAGGCGGCTATCCAGTCTGCCAGACTAAGAGGGGTGCCTCGGACTTTACAAATACAAACTTGGCGGTTCATGCGATTTGGTGTTTACACTGCATCATGAATGTTAATGTATGCTTAATTGCTTATAGATCATGTCGGTGAAGACCATCAATCGGATCTCCCGTATGGTCCAAGAAAAACTATTATGGGGGCTATTAATGGTCATGCAACATCCGTGGCGAACCATACTGGAACTTTCCAATTAGCGCTGACTTCGATGTCGTTGTCTGCATCGGTGTCTTTCCCCCCTGGCAGACGGACGTTAACCAACTTCCGTAGATATTGCTGATTAACATGATCCAGTCCGTGGAAATCCCAGCCCGCGGAAATCCCAGCCCTGGGCAGCCTTTGAGGAGACGAATTTTAGCCCTCATGCGCACCCAACCCCCATCGAATCCTCTCGGAGGCTCATTACACCGGGGATTTGTAAGAAGTCTCATTCAATAGATTGATCTGATAAAACTCTAGAGATCCGATATATATTGCGTCTTTTTCTGATTTCTTCTCCCTGCCCCTTGCATGAACATTTTACTCTCTCCATTCTCTTAAACTCAACCAACTCAGCACTCGACCTTATATCGTACGGAAGAATGTCTTCAGCTACATCAATCCAGCTCCCTAGCAACTACAAGGGGCTTTACTTCACTTCTTCATCTATCCCCCCTTGAGGTCACCTTCTTTCCGACACCTACCCTAGATGTCGGGTCAGTGGTCGTCAAGCCGTTGTACTGTTCGATACTAGGGTAAATCAACGACGTCTATAGCAGAGGCAACCCTCGCCAGTATGCTGTCCCCTCCCCCCTCGTAGGTGGCATCGACGCCGTAGGGAGGGTCGTCGCCGTTCCCCCAGATGCAACCAAATTGAAGGTGGGTGACCTCGTCATCGTCGACCCTACAATTCACCCGCGCGATGACCCGGGCCAAATCATGCTCCAAGGGCTACTCGCCATGGGCGAGATGCAAGCACTTGCGAAGGACGTTTGGTCTCATGGCACCTGGGCCGAGCTTGTCAAGGCCCCTCTCGAGTCCGTGCATCCCTTCAACGAGGCTGCTTTGCGGAGACCAAGGCGTCAGTCCCCGCGACCTCGTCTTCTTCGCACAGATGGTTGTTCCATACGGCGGCCTCCGGGACATCAACCTAATCGCGGTTGAGGCCGTCTTGATCAGTCCGGCGAATGGCAAATTTGGCGGCGCGGCCGTTCATGTCGCCCTCGCCATGGGGGCGCGCGTCATCGCCATGGGCCGCAACGAGACAGTCCTGGGAGAACTTCGTGACCTCTCGCCGGGAAGGGTCGAGACGGTCAAGCTTAGTGGCAGTTGGGAAACAGGCCTATCCGAGATCTCTAAACACGGCCTTGTCGACGTCTTCCTCGACCTGACACCGCCGACTGCGTCCAATATCGACCACATTCGCGCAGGGCTGCTCTCTGCCCGTGCCGGTGGGCGCATGAACCTGATGGGCGGCGTGCCCGAGATTCCGATCTCCCCCCCCGCTCCTCCAAGTCAGGGGCCTTACCATTCGGGCTACAATGATTGCTAGTTGGAGTCAACGGAGGGATCTTGTCAAGCTCATAGAGACGGGAGTCTTGAAGCTAGGCGAGAAGACGGGGTTGAGGATTCAAGGCGCTTTTAAGATGGAGGAGTTTTCCAAAGCGTTGGAAATGGCGGAGAAAGAGTCCAGTGCCGGTCGATCGGTGGTGTTCACTCCTAACGAGGAGTGAGAAGAGTGTTGCAGATCCGTGTTACGAGCGGGCCAGGGCAACCAACTACACCACAAAGCAAAAGTTTCAGTAATGATGCGTCTGCATATGTCATTGTACCCTTTTCTGCATTATAGTTGAGCTAGCCAGAATATCTGGGCTGTGACAATCCGTTAACATGAATAAGCCAGTGACTATCCAGTGCGTGCGTGGTGGAGAAACGAATGAAGGACAGGAACTAGAGGCTCCGTTATTGATATACTACGCAACTATAAGAATTCTGTTTAAGTTTAGAGAATAATCAATGGGTCATCTTCTCCCAAAAGAGAGCACCTCTGAGTTAGAAAGGTGGCTGATGGAAGATAGCTACCAGCCGAATAGACAACCCAAGTATATTCTGCCAGATTTTGTGAGTCATGTAGGAAGCGGCTCTGTTGTTCACGATAGTCTATATGCAATATTCCGTAATAGTGTCAAATATTTCTATAGCCATAGTATCGAACTCAGATATACTCCAAGTTGAGTTGAGTACGAATATAACTAAGCCGACAAAACTGCGGTAGCACTTGAACGTCTGTGGGTAGCCGCTCGATCCATCAGACGAAGTGGTCATCAGGAGGACCGAATATCATAATGGTTTTGGACCAAACGACCAAGTTCTCGTTGCATCTTTGCACTATTCAAATCACGACGGGTGATCGAGGGTGTCTCAAAGTAATCATAACCAAACTTTTGACGACATGGAGAGCATAAAAAGCCTTGTCTCAAACGCGAAATGGATTCAAATGGCTTACAAGACTGGAATGACTGGCTCGATATATATTGGCGAACAACAAGGCCTCGAACTTTAGTGTGGCATTGGAATTTGAAGCGAGCATCAATATTTATTTGGATTCCCTGGACTGAACTTTCTTATAGAGAGTTGCTGTTGATCCTAGTTTTATTGTCAGAACCTCTTCTGGGTCCTCGGGTCTTCAGCTGCCAAATTGAAACCGATGTGAAGATGCTGGCTTCAGGTTTTCACCCCGTCACCAAGTTTACATCCGCCAGCAACAACGTATCTGAAATGAACAGTCAAGATCCATACTTCTTCGAGAAGAAGTCGGCCAATAACCCAGAGAAGATTGCGGTGCCGACATGACCGCTTCCAGGACCAAACGCCCAGGCGCAACTGTCGCCGTCTTCCAAATCGACAGCCCAAATCAGCCTTGCCAGCAGAAGAGCAGTTACGCCACACGATATGGTGTAGTACGGTGCGCCAAAACCAGCCAGCTGGCCTGCCAACACTAGAAAGTAGACCTGCACAGCAGTCGCCATGTAGCAGGCGGGTTTCGTTCCCTTTCTCCCGAGGCGCACGGCGAGCCCCTTGACACCAGCTTTCAGGTCATCGAGGTAATCCTGATGAGCGTAAATGGTGTCGAAGATGACAGTCCATATAATCCCAGCGACGTATAGACATGCCGCTGACCGGGCAAGTGGTGCTTCGATGACCTTGTGCACGCGGGTCGGCAGATCCAACGATCGGTCCAACAGAGGACTCAACGGATCCTTCCCGACTATCGCGGTCACCAGGAATATGGCATATGACAGCCCGAATCCCAGCTCAACTTGGGGGTAGTTTGTGCACCGCTTCAGGAAGGGGTAGATGAACAAGAGAGCGCCGTCGATGGCGGCGTGTATCAACACCGAATCGCCCAAGAGGTACAAGATAAAAGTGCCAACGGCAGTCTGTATGGCGGTAAAGAGATGCGCCTGCTCCGTTGTGACGGCACCCCGTGGGATGGGTCTCACTCGGCAGCGAGCAACCTGGCGATCAAAGTCCTGGTCCATATTGTCGTTCCATGTACAGGTGATGCCGCGGAAGACAGTGGTCCATAGTCCCAAGTATGCCGCAAGGAATCCAAGAGTTTTCAAATCGATATCGTGAGAGAAGGGGGGAATGTTGATGGCAAACCCAAGTCCTATCAGGTAGTGCCAGTAGAAAGCCCAGAATCCTGCCTGACTGTCGAGACGCATGAGTTCGGCAAACGGAACCCATGCGTCTGGTAGGAAGCGAAAAATGCCGTGGGTTGGCTTGTTGTAGCCTTTGACTTCATCCATAGCGGGAAAGGTGGTGGTACAATCCAGAATATGATGCGTATAATAGTTACGGAATTGCTGTCGTCGCTAAGAATAGAGAGGAAAAGGACAACAATGGGCAGTACCGTGACCGGACCTACCATCACCTTTATCCTTTGCCATAACATACATGCATGTCTGCCACAGAAAGATACCAGCACGCGAACTAATGCATTCCAGCACCAAGTGAGCAAAAACGTTCAAGACTATTGGACTGATCTTTCGCCATACTCCAACCGTCCAACACACTTTGAAGGTAGGGGTCCTACCCTATCCGGCACATATTCCGGATCCCGTCCTGCTTACACCCACGGGCCCACATTTGTTCTTTTGTACCATGTACGAATGGTATGCAACATTCTGGTACGTTTCGGCCAAGCGGCAAGGAACTGATCAAATCTAATGTATTCCAGAATGTTTGTCCAAAGCTTTTCCAAAGGTTACCAACTCTGCCTCAGGCTATCCTGCGTATGCTACGTGTCTTACGTGAGGTTGGAGGTGAGTCCATAGGTATGCTTGCCGAACATGGCTGTTGGGCAAGGCGGTAATAACGCCGAGTTTAGAACCCGAACAAAACATTGAAGACTTCCCATCCAATGGCGTCTGTGAGAGAAATATCATTCGTAGACAATCGGAACTGTAGTTTTCCTCTGTGTATCATCTAGGCATATCATCAAGGCGCCTGGATGTACGGTGAACCCATTCTATCCCCTCGACCGCGGGATAATGCCACACTTGCCAAGAGCGGGGTAGGTATATTAGTGTAGGCTGATGATGTCTCTGTGGTTTGCGCGATGTCGAACTAGGATATGTATCACTGAGTTGTATTGCAGATTGAAAAGCTCCGCTCAGATGCTTAACTAGCCTATCCCTAGTGTTCCGACTTTTTATATCCCATCTGATTATCCGTACTGAGACCTCTTTGAGTAGTGCATGTTGACAAATCGGGCACCAACAATATACCAGCCCCATCAGCGCAGGCAGTGCTGGAGTCTTCATGCACACAACCTATAGTTTGCTGCGTAGCGCCCGCATCCCTGGCGACCTTCGGGCGCGATACCACCGCTCTCGGCAACATCCTGGTCCGAATTGCCCTGCAGCTGCAGGCCGAGCCGCGGCAGCGTTCCCGGCGCTTCTGGCGTTGTTTGCACTACATACAACGCTCCGGCCTGCAGACCCAAACCCTGGAGCTGAAAGTCGATATCTTACAAAGATTGGCAAAGGGACCAACAGCGTCAAAATTTGAGGCCAATGCAATGCAACATACTGCCGCAGGGATGCGGCTTTGTTTGCTTGTTTGTTGGAGTCTGCCACTTCAGGACCCACTGGGCGATTTACCTGGGCAGGACTCAACAGTACATCGGGAAAGCCTTCGCTGGCTTCTCCCGACTACAACACGTATACAGCAACTTCCCATTCACGTCATCGGCCGTGAGGCGCGAACAGATCATCAGCGGTTCGTTGTACTCTGCACTATCTCTAGAACAGAAAAGATGGGCTCATCGCGTATTTTTAGCAATTCTAAGAGTATACTGCATACAGTCTCTTAGTTGTTAACGTAGGCTTGCGAGTTTGGTTAGAAACTCCGTAGCCGGGGCTCGGATGGATCAATAAAGGGGTTACAACGCTTATTCAATCTGGCACTTGAATACAGGTAGCCTGACATAATCCCATTGCCACATTTAAAACCCCGACACCTATGGTCTTACAAAGGTTCCTCAGGACTCATAAAACCATCACCTTGATCTTCAACATGGCGAATACGTCTACTTCACGGCCGCTACTCTCTATCTTAATTGTGGGCTGTGGTCTTAGCGGACTCGCTTCGGCTCTGGCTCTCGCTCAAGTCGGCCACCATGTGACAGTGTTTGAGCGCAGTGTCAAACTACAAGAAGTAACTCCATGCTTTCCATGTATCGGATTTCGACATTTCTAACGTAGCTCAATAGATTGATGCTGGAATACAGTTATCCCCGCATGTGACGCGTTTGCTTCAACACTGGGGCGTCTTCGAGGAGGTTCTTAAGTATGCTGACCAGCTAGAGGCCGGGACCTTTCGTTGGCAGCGCACCCGCATACTATCGTAATACAGGGATTGCCTGGCTTCTTCATTCGTGAGGTAGCTTGTTTGTAAAACAATGGATATGCAAGTGTCTTGGCTGGCCGCTGTGTGGACAAGTATTACACGACTGGCTCATGACAGTACTTAACGGTTAATGCAAGCACATATGTACCCCACTATGCAGGCGATATAGAACTGTAACCCAGATGAGATCAGATTGATGAAGACTAAACGAAACACGTAGAACAAGGCAACTACGAATACTCGATACTCTTGGATTGTTTCCTTAGGCCACACGGATACTTCCTAGCGGGTTCTCACGTAAGATACTATTTACTGATAGTTACCTTCAACACGTTTTAACATACCACATGCATATTTATTCCTACATAGGTTGTCGGAGGTATCAGTACTATTTGATCCACTTACCGGCCCGCCCCGACAGTACGGGGCTGCCGGCACCATTTCTCACACGAACCTTGTTAGTTGTCCCGAGGTGATAGCTCCCCTTGACCTGCATAATCTGAAATTTAATCGGCAATACACGCCCGGAACACCCTGCGGCACAGGATACAGGATCATTTGTGATCAGGCACTATCCATCCAAGCGGCACAAGCAATACAGGGAACACCCCCAGACACACACACAAACATGCAACAGACAACAGGGGGGAGCAGGGGGCAGCCAACGAAGCGAAGGGAAGCATCGCTTTTGCTGCCCACAAGCTTGCTGTGCCTCCGACATCTTCTGAGAGTTGGCTTGAGTTTCCCCACTGAATAGGCAAGCAATCTTCACCTCGACGACGGAGAATCCTCTCCGACCCAAGCATAAACGTGCTAGAACGACATCCGTGAGATTTCATTCTTCTCAATGCCCTGAATGCATCAGAACTAGCATTGTCGTCCTGTCTCTTAGCTGTTGGCTGCCATCATGTACTTCATCGAAAACTAGTACTACCACTATTTGGGTCTCTTCGTCATTCTATGCTGTACATGCGTAGTGTTTGTTGAGTTCGTCAAACCTACCGACTTGAAATGGTGCCTGGGAACAAAGAGATGGGCAATGCCACCGGGGCCACCGGGCATACCAGTCTTAGGAAACTTGCCGCAGATGATGCAAGCCCGCCGCGGAGCCCTTTCGTTTAATAAATGAGTAAGTAACAAACTCCTGCTCATGAGGGATTTCGTCTTGATCCGAACATCTGTTAGCTAGCATCATTGATACCATACGGCGAAATGGTGACACTGCGGATGGGATCCAAGACGTGGGTTGTGCTCAACTCGGACCACGTCGTTTCGGAAATCATAGCCAAGCGAGGAAAGAACACTAACGAAAGACCCCATATGCCCGTAGCCAGCGATCTTGTGAGCAACGGAAAGCGCACAGTGATACGACAGGAAAAGGAATGGCGAGAAGGACGCCGTGTGACGCATCAGTTACTCAGCGGCTCGAACCTCAAGGTCTATGCTGGTATGCAAGAGCTCGAGAGCGTGGACATGCTGCGCCGGTATCTTCGGGAGCCTAGCCTTTGGTTTGCTCACAGCTATCGCTATGCCACTTCTGTGCTTTACAGAATCGTTATGGGCTACCCCCTGAACAAGACAAAAGCGCAACTCGACGACTATCAGATGGTGACAATCCAGTTTGTCACGTCTATTAACCGGAGCTACGTGGATTTCTTCCCATCGCTTAGCAGGCTTCCCCATTTCCTACAGCCTTGGCGGCGTTTCTGGGCCAAGATGGGCTCGTTTCACCGCCGTGTCTTCCAGGAATGGTGGGAACCAATCAAAACCGCCGTGAGTGACGGCTCGGCGCCGCCTTAGTTCGTCCGCGACGTTCTTCTCCATCCAGATGTTAGGTTCTCTGGGGATGACGAGGAGGCCATGTACCTGGCCACGTCTGTTATGGCAGCTAGGGGTGATAACACACGCATGACGATCAACGTGTTCATAATGGCCATGGCTACACGCCCTGAAACGCGGTCGCGGGCGCGCGAGGAAGTCGATCGAGTGTGTACGGATGGTGAATCGCTCAAGCTCCCCCGGATATCCGATCTGTCGGCGATGCCCTATGTCGCTGCCATGATCAAAGAAGTTCTGCGTTGGCGACCAACCGTCCCCATTATTCCACCACACCAGCTCACAGGGGACCTGGAGTTCGATGGGCACTTCATACCTGCCGGCACATGCTTCCTGATCAACTCGATCGGGCTGTCGAGCGAGTTTGACAATCCCCATGAGTTCCGGCCCGAGAGATGGATTGACAATTCAGGAGCTGATATGATACCCAACTTCTGGGGATTTGGAGGCGGCCGCAGAACAAGCTTTGTTTATATCATTTGCTCGCTTGCTTTATTGTTTCGAATCGAGTCCGGTTCGTTCACCCCTACCACCCCTTTGTTTTTTTCACGTTGGCGACGAGGCACTAACGGGAAACGTCCAGAACGGGCCTATTGACGACAAGAGACTCAACCACCAAGCCCTCAATTAGCCGTTCCCTGTGAAGGTCACTGTCCGCAGTGCCCGGCACGCATCCCTTATCGAGGAGGAAGCATCCAAGTACGAAGTTTCATTCTCTGCCTTCGGGACCAAATGATCCCTTCTGACGGAAGTTAGAAATCCACATCAGATGGTACGGCAAATAGAAAACAATGGGGTCCAGGAAGCATATGTCTAATAAACTCATGTTGAAAGTCCAGGGCTTTAGTGCGTCAATAGCCAATTATCGTGATGGCCTCATGGGCATTACGCGCAAGTGGCTCTGCTTGGGTTATCTCTAGGACAGAGAAATAGTTCTTCTAGACTAAACCTTGTCTCTACACACGTAACCTGATTTCGGAGGATATCCGTCGGCCGATATCCTCGATATCGACAGCATTCTTTGTGATTAATGTTTAAGTCGTTCCATTTGGCACCACATGTCTGCCCCACTGAACCACCCCGTAGCTGGCCCCCTGCCTGCTCCCTTTGGAGTAATGTTTATGGATCCCACAGTCTTGTCGGTTTCGTTGAACGTCCACTTGACGGCTTTGAAGAACGGCGTGCTTTTAAAGGATGGCCAAAACGAACTAGACGGCGTGATGGTGAGATTCTGTGGAAACTTGGCTCCTGGGTTGAGTTTTTGCCAATCGTGAAAGTAGTCGTTGATAATGACAAGCGTCTCTTTGTTTACAACATTCAAACCATTCATCCGGTTGAGAGATTTGAGTGGTCTATTTGCGTGCCTGCTGCTTGCTACAGCTTGAATTACGTCGGATAGATGTAGCCTCGGGCTACCATCAGCGTGTGGCTTTTCTCGGCCGTTCCAGGCTGAAGCAACGGTTATTAGGTCGGGTTTGTTGCTTGGGAATATTAACTTCGTGACGATGGCGCGTCGAAAATTTTGTGTGTAATAGGGTGTGTATACGTAGTAAGTGTCTCCGGCTCTTTCAACAGTATAAATATCCTTATCATACCGAAGGCCCTTTGCTTGCTGAGCAGAAACGACGAATGTGCAGGACAATAGCGACCAGATGAGAAAGAGTGGGTATATAAAACGCATGTTGGAGACAAGATTAAGAATAAAGGCTATAGACTCGTAAACCGGAAGACAAAGAGCGACAGGGAGCTTGCTACTAAATCTACGTCAATTGAGTGTAAGAGAATTTCTGGAACAATATATGCTTTTACGTGAAGATCGGCTCTACCAATCTAGCGCACGGTTACTGGCGCGCTCCTAGCAACTTAGGGACAAGTTGCAGTAGGAAGGAGTATAATAAAAGGGACTAGGTGGGGATTTTCCTTACTAAGTGTATGTGTTGTGGCTTAGCACACCACCTATGTTCCCTGACAACTATTAATTTACCCACTGCACATACATGGTGCTGGGCCCGGAGTCGGGGTCTCCGGTCGGGAAATTCATGCTTAATCTTAGCAGTACCTATCTGCTGATTCTTAACCCTACATAGTACACCAAGATTATGCCCAGACTAGCCGAAGTTGAAAGACGTATTAGAACAGGGTTATGTTTCGGGTTTTGTCAAATGTGGCGAAAGTACACGTGAATTAACCGGCGAATACACAGTTGACCCACGGCGAATAGATGGGGAATAGGCAGTGAAATAGCCCCACTTTACTAGTGATTTCACCAATTATATAGCCAGGATTGGCCCAGGATTTCCTAACCAAGAAATAGGGGGATTTCCCTGTTCCTATAGGATTTATAATAGTTAGTTATATATACATAACATAATTAATTAACTATTACAACCCCTACGATTTAACAACAAGTAACCTTGCTGATAGGGCGTCTATCTCTTACATCTAGAAGGGCTTGTTAGAGCTTATACTTGGTATACTGCTTTATGATGGGTTGATGAAGGCATTCTGAAAAAACTGACGTTGTTTGGCGATATATGGCAATTCTTATGATAGTTTGAAAAAGGTGGTGGTGTTGATGATGCGGCATTTTTGGCATTTGCGGAAGTGGGGGTTTTGCGGAAGTGGGGGTTTTGCGGAAGTGGGGTGGGGTAGTTACACAACCGCATCTTCCGACTATGGAGAAGCTGGGAGAGAACCGGCATGACTATATGACAGAAGATGATAGAGTGGAAAGAATAGTGCGACAAAAAAGAGCATGACAGAGCTTTGCACCGATCGCGAAAGGGGCACGACGAACAGCGTTGAACCGGCACTAGGCCGTATCAAGGCTGAGTGTTAGTCACACCATGCAGGTAGATATCTTTGTGTACCGGAATCAGACTATGTTAATGGGTTTGCTGACCGGGCTATGCCTCCATCTTCTCCACTTGGTATTGTTTGCTATTATGCATATCCCATTAGCTGCAAGGGCCCCAGACATGACTCCACCCCACCATGGTTTTGTTGTGATTGGCATACAGCTAACTAACCATGTGACTGAGTATTATGTACTTCTTAAAGGCATAGAGGGAAAATAGATTAAAGGCTTGACAAATGATACGACTACGATGCTCATAATGAATCCCTCATTTCAATCGCCACACTATGTCTCATGGCGGAAATGATCTGAATGTGACAGCAGCAATTAGGCCGTTCCATCTGTAAGAAGAAGCCCACTGGAAGAGAAATTCCTATTATCTTCTCCTTCAACTGTAGGGCCAATACATCATGCCTTGGAACGCGTCTGTGTGAATTTGTCCATCAGTAATCGACCGAGATCACCACAGGGAAAATAGCCAGAGAATCAAGCCAAGTGTAACCATGGCTGCATGTCTCTTACTAAGTGCAAATTGAAGCCACTGCATGTGTGGAGTCTTGATCCTCATTTTCCAGGAGCTGAGATAGCTCATCAAATTCCTTCGTTTCCGCTTTGAATCCTACAGATGGGGATTGCCCAAGGCCGAATCTAGCAGCACCGAAGATTGTGAAGTAAGGTGGGTATATCTATGAAAGATACCAGGAATGCGATTGGGCCTGAGGGCAATACTGGAAGAGATGATAGAATACTCGACCTTAACACAGTTCTGGTTCTATCGATTATCTCCTAGGTATTTAAAGCTATATAAGGAGTTTCTAGTCTCATGAATCACACAGTGTTTTACATAGAAACTCTGGTTATAGGTGTGTGTGGAAAGTCATTTTGGTGCATTTATGGGAATCATGTATGTGTGTGTGTACTTTACGTCTTTTACGTCCCTGAAGAGGGCAATAGGCGCCCAAGCGCGTCTACGTGCTATGACTTATCTACCCCCCCGGCCGCCACCTTGGCGATATCTACAATGGGCACTGAGCGTGGGGGAATCATGTACGTAGGGGTATAGGAAACATCCTACCTTGAATTTATGAAATGGAACTAAGCTTGTGCAGATTTAGCGCGATAGCTACCATCAATGCTACCAATAGGAACTGACATGCTTACTGAGGACAACAAGCCCGTTCGAATTACGGTAAACAGGAAACGATCACGTCAAGAGCCGAAAGAACCATAAATAAGAGCCGCAACCTCAGCTTTCGATGCGAATTGAGATAGTCTTCCAAGTTGCTAAGTGTAAAAAAGCCACCGAGCGCTCGCACTGCTCAAGATGCTCCTCTCCATTTGCTTCCTTGCCACTCTTTATGGTCTTGCTACTACAGCCGCACTGCCCACAACCACCCTCAATGTCCCGCATCGCCTCATTCACCAGTTCGACAATGGCTTCTGGGCGGAAAACATCGCCGTACGAACCAATGGGAAACTGTTGATCACCATGATCGCCCCCTACCCGCAGGTCTATCAATTGGATCCGCTCTTGCCAAATCCAGTCCCAGAATTGATTGCCACCTTTCCCAACCACCTCGCAGCTCTCGGGATAGATGAAATCAACCCCGACGTCTTCGCTGTCGTGGCCAACAATTTCACGTTCTCGACTGGCGCAAGCACCCCTGGGTCGAACACTCTCTATCGGCTGGACATGCGAACTTACGACACGGATGGCCAAGCCAACGTTTCGGTGCTTGCTAGCATTCCTGACGCTGTGTTTCTCAACGGACTCACTACTGTCAAAGGCGGAGCTGGAGGAAAGGTCCTCACAGCAGACTCGTTCACAGGCCAGATCTTTGAGGTCGATGTCAAGAACGGAGCCTCCAAAGTCTGGATGGACAACCCCATCCTGTCCTTTCCTGCAGGTGCGAGCATCAAAATCGGCGTGAACGGAGTGCGGTATCGTCCAGAAGATGGCTTCGTATACTTCAGCGTTCTCGCGCGGGGCACCATGGCTAGAGTTCGTTATTCGCCGAACAAGACCAGGGAGGACAAGAACGAAGCAAAGTCGATACAGGTCCTGGCAGAGGCGAACATACCGCTCGACGATTTCATTGTGGCTCCTAATGGAGATATATATGCTACCGGCGGATCTGACAATATATTGTATGTGGTCAGAGCAGGCAGTGGACGCCTGACGCCATTTTTCGGGGCGTCTGACTCTTTGACGCTTGCGGGTCCTACTGCAGCTAGATTTGGCAGGACGAAGCTCGATCGCCATATTATCTATGTCACTACCAACGGAGGCGTTGCAGGTCCTATCAACGGAACCATCACTGAACCGGGCAAGGTTGTCGCTATCGATACTGGAAAACTCTAGAGACTCTAGCTAGGGCTCATCCTTTCAGTGGGACAGATGATTGAAGAGAGACGGCTTATGCCGGCCAAGGAGATGAATTGAGTCAACACTGATGTCGTGCCATATGGCACTGCGTAGAATATCGATCACATTAGAATTAGAGCAGTACAAGAATATTCTTAGACGCATAGCTCACTAGAAACTTCCTTTCTTGAAAACATCATTAAACCATTTATTTCAAACAATTCTTCAATTAAATTAACAAGTATCACGAGGTCATGTGCGGCTTTATAGTCTATTGTTACGATTAAAGCGTCGGGTGTCGCATCCATATTCCTCATAAATGTACCTATATGCATAATTGCAAAGGATCAATTTCACCCCGATGTACAGACAATTAACTGAGTGCGGCTTTGAATACCTCATTTAACTGTTTGATCCAAACCTAACAGCTATTAGTGGAGCAACAACAATGTTCTCCGCTCCCGTACTCCTTCCGTTGAAGGGAGCTAGGAAGTCTCCTGTCAATAATCATGCATTGATAGTAAAGTTGAGGCGCGCAAATAGACCTGGCTTGAACGCTTTGGAACAATCATGTTCAAGCATCGGAAGGTCCTAGCAAGTGTAAAGGACGCGAACTGCCTTGCTTATGATAGCTGAATCAAAACATTGGCTTACTTGCCAGCAAATATCTTGCCCAGATTCACGAGCTCATTCCACCGCTTATCCTGGCGATTCTCGATATTTCCTTCGGGAGTCATGACCTTCATTTCTTGTGCCGACTTTGTTCCGAATTCGTAATGTTCCCCGTTGTTCATGAAAGCCACTAGGATTTGAATCTAGTCCTTCATCATGACTTCCTCGGCTGGAGTTGGACCATGACAAATTGCGAAGCTAAGAGCGCCACGCTGTCAGCAATGTTTATTATTGAGAAAGGATAGAACGAAAATGAGACGCACTTCCAAATGGGCCTGTCCATGGCATGAGATAACTCCCCCACCCTACTTGCAAGACACCCCCACATCCGAGACATTATTATCACTATTATCACCACCACTATCACCACTTATTTCACTATCTCTGCCGCCCACCTATATACAACTTTTGGCCTTACTAGGTAATTTAGATACCCTAGATTTATTTAGACTATCTATATTACTAGTATCTAGACTCTGCGCCTAGATAATATCCTCTATAGTAGTAAAGGTGCTATTAGGTAATAGGTAGACCTTTTTCCTCTTATGTAACTATATATTATCTAACTAGGCCTATAATAAGTTAACTTACCTTTCTAAAAGGGCTGCTCTAGATACCTACTTATTATATCCCTTTTACACCTTTTTAAATAAGTAATAGATAGTATAGGTATCTAACCTATCTTTACCTAGCTAGGTTAACTAGTATAATTAATACTATAGATTAGTAAATTAATAAAGGGTTAACTATAGGATAATAGATTTAGCTTTATCTTACTGTTAGCTACTAGACTACTAGCTAGCCTAGCTGGCCTAGCAAGCCTGCTAGGCCTTAGTGACTAGTAGGTTAGATAGAGGGTGCCTTTTAGATACTAGCTATAACCTAGTAGCCCTCTAGCTACTCTTAATGTTAATATCTATAATAGATACCTTATAAGCCTTAAAATAACACTCTAGAAATACCCTTTTGCTAGTAATAGTTAAATCTATTACCTAGTTATCTAGACATCTAACCCTCTAGTAATAGGCCTACTTTAATAGGCTAAAGACAGCTATATCTAGAGGCTAGAGGATAGTAGAGGTGTATAGCAGTAGAAATAATAAATAGATATAATACTACTAGTATTTTTATATAAAGTTAATAGTTATATAGCTATAATGCCTATTAAGAACTAGTAGTCTAGCCTCCTCTAGCTAAGTAGGCCTAGTACGTAAGATAAAGACCTCTTCTAGCTATTTAAGGGCAGTATTATTAGTTATCTAGCTATTATCTATTACTATAAATCGCTAAGCCTTATATCTAGATAGGTTAAATAGGTTAGATATAAACTACTAGGCCTAAAGTAACTTACCTTTATATATAAGTAAGGGGGGTAAAAAGCTCCTAGCAGCAGACACATACTTAATAATAAATACTTATACCTAAGATCCTAGCTGCTTTTTCTAGATATATTATAATATTATAAAGCCTAACACTAGCCTATTAACTCCCTTACCCTTTATAATACTAGTCTTATTTATATTCTATTTATTAAATAGATAAATACCTTAGATAGTAAGAATACTACTAAGGTAATAAAAGAAATCCTAAATAACCTTAGGGGAATAAGCTGCCTATTACTAGGTATTAATTACTTTAAATTAAAGGGTTCTAATAAATAGATTTTACTATATAAATTAGGCTATTTATTTCCTCTCTATAAGAGGATACTTATTACTTATTATACGCTCTATTAGGCCCTTTACTTATTAATAAGTAATCTACCTACTAAGGGAAGCTTAGAGGGATATATAGGCAGCTAGATTATCTTCTTAGGCCTAAGATAAGTGTTATATATAGGTAAAGGCAGTATCCCTACTTTACTACCTATAGTATTAATAATAAAGTAACTAGTATAGTATGCCTTATTTAGAAGTAGCAGCCTAAATAGTATACCTATTTTATATATCTAGAAGGGCCTAATAAAGCTTATCTTTAGTATATTACTTTATAATAAGTTAAAGAAGGTATCTTAAAAAAATAGCGTTATTTAGTTATATATATGAAATATTATAATAGTTTAAAAAAGGTAGTGATGTTAATAAAGGAGGAGAAATGCAGGATTTTTAGATGTCTTGGAAGTGGGGGTGTCTCGGATGTGGGGTGGGGGAGTTACTCCATAAGATGCCGGTGCAATCTTTTCATCAATGAAGGACAGTCTGTAAGCAATCTGGTATCGCCACACATCTTGCATGCTGACATCGTTGTCCACTAGTGCTTTGACAAGCAGCCTGGAGGGTGCGCGCACCTGTCCATCTGCAGTTATTAAACCTGTTTTTTGGTCAACAATCGGTCTATTATCTGTCGACGTCTTCCTGTGTCTTACCAAAAATGTTCTGCCAGTCTTCTAAATTGCTTGAATTTGGAAGTGTATACTGCTTAATAGCACGGTCCGTAACATCTGGCGCGTAGTAGTTTGATATTTGCAGTCGAAGAGCATCGAGGGTAGGCTCGATCGGGGGGTTGTAAGACGCGTATAGGGTTTCTTCGTTGAGCACCTCGCCGATGAGAATCTTATACTCTCTCTTCTTGAACTCATCCGCGAATCCTCTGCTTTGTAGATAGTCTACCATGCCAAAGTGAATAAAAATGTCGTCCGTGACTGGCCGGAAGGTATGGTTTTTCAGGTGAGAGATCGTTCTCAAAAGGTCTTGTACGCTCTTTGTTCGTAGGATGCCCAACTTTTGGCTATTTGGAATGCTTCTCTCAATCCCAAAATGGTCGCACAGCTCGTCAAACTGGCCTTGTACCTCAGCAAGAGACTTTGGTTGGGCGGGAATAGCGTTGGAGTCCATGAAAATGCGACTGTACAGAGAGGAACTGTCTCCAGGCTTGCGGAAATCGTACAACATCTGAGCCTCGGCGCTATAGGCACCAGCACTTCGGCCGGCGAGGGTGATGTTTCCTGGGTCTCCCCCTGTCGTAGAGGCACTGTTCGGGTAGGAAAGATCATAGGGAAAACGGCTTAACTATCTATAGTGTAGAGATAGGTAATCCAGCCTAAAGAAATACGTATTCTTTAAGTAGGTCAGCTGCATAGAGACAAGGTTTAGTTTAGAATAACTATTTCTTTAGTCTAGAGAAATTAGCTAACTAGAGCTAGATATACGTAATATATATAAGGGTATTATAATATACCCCCCTAGGCGTAATTAACTATCTATAGATTATTATATACCTAAAAACTACTAAATATAAAAGAGATTACTACTAAGTAAATAAAGTAAATAAAGTAAAGCGTATATAGCGCTTTATAAAGCCTAGTTATAAGAGGTAACTACTATATAAAAAAAATACTATATAAGCCCTTATTATTATAGCTAGTTTCTAGATAGTAGGGTTTCTACTAATAGTAAGTAGAGGTTAGTACCTAGTTAATAGTATTCCTCTTCTTTATTATCTTTATTAATTACCTAGTAATTAGTTAAAGCTTAGGGTTATAAGGCAGCTTGTATAGCTTCTTTATTAATTAAATTACTAAGGTTAGATACTAAAAGGTATTTAGAGAATATATTATAAGTTAATTACTAAAGAGCTATAGAAGTCTGTCCTTAAGTGTATCTAAGTCTATCTTATATATAAGTCCTAATACCTTTAGTATGCTTAAGAGTAACGCCTATCTATTAGTCCTTTACTATAGAGCGCTATTAACTAGTTAGTCCTTTACCTAAAGTGCTAATTATTTATTATTCTTTTCTTATTATTATATAACTTATACTATAGTTTTTTTATTCTAAGGAGTTATCTATTTATTTTTAGTTTGCTTATTTATATAAATACTATTACTACTTATTATCTACCTATTAGGTAAGGTAATATAGCTATTAAATAGTAAGGATTATAATAGTTAATTAATTAATTATGTTATATGTTATATATCTATAGTAAATTACTATAGAAATAAGGAAAACCCCCTATTTCTTAGTTAGGAAATCCCTAGCTAATCTTAGTAATATTATTAGTAGACTTACCCTAAAAGTAGGGCTAATTTACTGCCTATTCCCTAATAATTTACTATAGGGTAACTATATATTTACTAGTTAATTTATATATAATTCTGCTATATTTAACACACCCCCTTAGCGCTAGGAACGTAATTAATTACTATAGCGCCTGCACTAAATATCCTCTATTTATAGCCTATTTATTTATTAATTATCTTTTAATATCCTATATATTTTCTTTCTCTATCTAGTAGTAAAGCTTTACTTTATTATTAGCTAATTCTTACTATTAATTTACTTTAAGGTATATATATTAATTACTTATATTTAATTAAGCTATAAATATAGTAAATTATAGCGCACTAAGCGCCTTTATTAATTTATTAGCTATTAATTTAGTAGACTTCTTATATTTAATAGTAATCTAATTTACTACTACTTTTTATTATAGCTAGTAGTTATAAATATCTATATACTATAACCTTATTTATAGTTAAATAAGCTCCTTAGTAATAAGCCTAATAGTCTAGGTATTATTATAGCTAATATAAATAGTTAGTAGCTATTTAGTAGCTACCTACTTATTAAGTAATAATTTAGTTCTTATTTATATTAATAGTTAAATACCTAGTGTAGTAATTAATCTACTAGTAAAAAGCGCCTTTTTTATAGTAAATAATAAGGCTAGTAATTTAGCCTTAGTAGTTAACGTTATTACTATATCTTATTTATTTACTTACTAGGAGATAAGCCCTCTAAATAGCTTTAGTGCGTACGCTTATAAGCTATAATAGTCTAGTAAGTTATTAGTAAATAAGGCGTCTATAGTAACCTCTAACGTATTATCTTTACTACCTAGCGTTACTTTATATTTAAGGTAAAAATGCTATATATAGTAAAAATATTTAAGCACTTAATTTACTACCTTTTAGTAATCTAGATTTAGATTATAGTTAAAGTAGGTAAGCTAGCTAGCTATAAAAGTAATATCTAGCTAAGTTATTACTACTATATATAGGATTATTCTTACCTTCTTTTAATATTAATTAACCTCTTATAATAAGGCTATATATTTACTAGGTAATAGCTTAGCCTTTAATATAAGTAATAATTTATTATATTTATATTTATTATCTATTAGTAGTAGTTTTATTATTTTATTATAGTATACTACTTATAAAAGCTAGAGATAATAGTTACTTTAGTTATAAATTACCTTAAGGCTAAGAAACTACTATAATAGGCCTCTGCCTTTAAGGTAGTATTATTACTAAAGAGCTACTATCTTATTACTTACTTATACTTTATTTATATAGTAATAGGCTAATATATAGTTATTAACGTAAAAAAAGAATATAATATAATCCTTTTTCTAATAGTAGTTCTTATTAGGCACTTAGTAAAATCCCTACGTAGTAAGCCCTTCTTTAAAGTGCTTTTACTATAGTAAAGGTAATTATTAGAGCCTATAGAGTGCTTTTAATAACTAAAAGATCTAGCTAGTAATTTAGTAGCCTAGAGGTATCTTTATAAATACTACCTTATTAATAGTAGTATAAATAAATATATTTACTATTAAAGGCGCGTAGGGTATAAAGGACTCTTATAGTGTAGTGACTATATAGAACACTATAACTACTAAAAGCAACATAAGATTCCTTACTAATTAGTATATAAGTCGTCTTAATCTATCTAGAATTAATATTAATTATAAGTGTTAAACTATAGGATTAAGCATAATTATACCCTAATTAGATAGGTAATTACTCCTAATTATCTTATGTTATTATAATTAAAGGTAAATTATAGAGAGGCTCTAGTTTAATTAGAAGGTAGGTATAAGTATAAAGGATAAATTCTATATATCTATCTCTAAACCTATTAATGCTAACTTATATCTTTATACTTAATTAGGATTAGAATCTTCTAATTAGTCTGTATACTACCTTACTCTAGGCTAATCGCCTTACCCTACTCTACTATATTATATTAAAGTAATTTTAAATTAAAGTAAGTAGCTATTACTATAAGTATTTTAAATAATATACTTACTAATATAGCTATATAAGTATCTTATAGATCTTTTACTTATTAGTTACTATAGACTATAAGTCTTACTTTAAATTTAGTTAATTAACTATATTTATTAAGCTTATAAGTATATACTTAATAGTAGCTAAGGATTTAATACCTTTAAGCTACTACTTATAGTACTATTACTTAAGATTTTAATATTTTATGCCTATATAGATATACTATTTTAGTGTCTTTAAATTACTTTTTATATAGGTAGCCTTTTAACTATCTATAGATTAGTAGAAGGTCTAGTAACTTCTAACATATACTTATTAGCTTATAGGGTTTAGTAATACCTTTATTATATACTAGTAATTTACTAGTAACGTCTTTATAATTATTATACTTATTAGGCGTTATATAGTTAATTAAGTAGCCTTAGGCGCACTTTAGCTAAAGGTAGTAATTTTTACTTATTAGTTAACTTTATAATATACTAGACTACGTTATTACTTATAAGCTGCCTTATATATAGTCTATAATCTTTTACTATAAAGTAAGCCCTATAAAGAAAGCAGCCTTAAATAAAGTCCTTAGCATAATCTAACTACCTATATATATAGTAAGATAATACCCTTTTATAACGCCTTTAAATAAGGTTACTACTAGCTAGAGATTACCTAATAGGCTAGCTATAGTTACTTAGGAATTTAACACCTTTTTACGCTTAGTAACGTCTTATAAATTAATTACGTAGAGATAAGATAAGGTATAGGGGATTATAATCTTTATTATTTTAGAACTATTAGTTCTTAGTAAGTTACTAGCTTATGGGCTATAAGCTATTAATAAATTAAGTAAGTTACTAGCTTATAGGCTATAGGCTATTAATAAATTAATTAATAGGCTATTAGCTATTAATTTAGGTATTTACCTATTAATTGTTTTACTATTAGTAATTATTTAGCTATTAGCTGTTAAATTAATTAATTTAGAGCTATTAGTTCCTATTTTACTACCCCCTATATTAAAATCCGTAAAGGCTGTAAAAAAGGCACTTAGTAGTAATAGTAGTAGAGTAAGAAGAAGCGTAAATTTTGCCTGCTTATATAGGTATTCTAGTGTGTTACCTAATTATAAAGCGCCTAGTAGAGTAATATTAGTATGTTCTATTACTTTATTTATTTCTTTATTAGCTTCTTTATGTAATAGGGATTAATTACTAGCTGTAATTAGCTTATTAATTTATTATTAAATTACTATAAGGTTAGCTTTATAAAGCTTATTAAGTAATCTATTTATTAATCTATTAAAGATTTATTTCTTATTAAATATTACGTTATATATAGTAAGGACCTTTATTTTATACTAGATACTAGACGTAATATAAATTACTAGATATACATCTAAAAAGAAATTTAATCTATATATAAGCAGAAAGCTTTTTACTAG